GTGCCACCACCATGCCCGGCTTCAAAGACTATTTTTAAACTGGGCATGATTTTACATACTTGTATTTCCAGCTACTTGGAATGAACGGTGAGGCAGGAGGATCATTTAAACCCAGCAGGTTCTACATAGTGAGACCTCATCTCAAAACACAGAATAAAAGATAGTTTTTCTGGGCACTCCAGATTTCTGTCTACATAATAGGACCCCTGTTATCAAATAGCCTTCCATTTCAGTACAGTGGAATATAGCTGTCTTTTTTTTTTTTGAGACAGTATCTTGCTGGGTAGTTCAGGCTGGTCTTGAGTTCACTATGTAGCCCATGTTGGTTGGCCTTGAACTTGTAGCAACCCTCCTGCCTTAGCCTCCAAGTGCTGGGATTACAGGCATGCGCCGCTGTGCCGGGCTAGCCCATCTTAACAGTTGCATAGTATCCACTGTGTAGATTTGTCTTAGCTTAGGCATGCAAGCTCTGCAGTTTGTCACTTATGTTGTTTCCTACCTTTTCAAATTTAGCTGGGGGTATGGTAATTATTTTTGTTGTTAAACATTAAAGTACACAGTTGTTTCCTTGGGATAAAGTTCCAGAGGAACCTCTGGGTCAGAGGTTATGTGTGTTTTTACAGTTTTTAATAAATTGAAGTCATCAATTTAAAGTTGTAACCTGAAGTTGTCCTTGGGGAGGGTTTCACCACGCCGCAGTCTCATTCCCTCTGAGTAACAGTGTGCATCATTTCCAAGACTCTTTGCTGATTTGCAAACTGTTAAGACTGAGACTCTTTGCAGGGTTTGAGTATCTTCTTGTGTGAATTACTGGTTTGTGTCCTATTCCCATTTTAATATTTTTATTTTGTTATTTACTTACTGTACTAGTGCTTGAACCCAGGGCCTTGTGCATGCTGGGTAAGTGCTTTAGACCACGGAACTACATCTCCAGCCCTTTTGTTTTATTTCGAGATGGAGTCTCACTAAATTCCCCAGGCTGATCTTGAACTTGTAGTCTTCCTGCCTCAGACTTCCAAAGTGCTGGGATTACAGATGTGTACCACCACACCTGCCAGCCTATGATGTTTTATTTTTTTATTTTTATTTTTATTTTTTTTGAGACAGGATCTCTCAATGCAGTTCAGGCTGGCCTTGAGCTCACTTTGTAGCCCAGGCTGGTCTCAAACTCGCAATGATCCTCCTACCTCAGCCTCCCGAGTGCTGGGATTATAGGCATTCGACATCATGCCCGACTAGGTTTTATTATGTAGGCTTGGGGAATGGATTTCTCCTTTCACCAGACTCGAAGGAATCAGACTCAATCGGCAGCTGGCACAGAGCTAGTCCTGTACTGAGTAGGGTGGGAGGGCTCCTGGGTTCTCACCACAGGAAGCTTGGTGAACGGGTGCTGTGGCAGAGACCTTAGTACCACTATACCAGGACCACAGAGTCACATTGCTCTTGTTACTTGACAGGCTGAATGCAGGGTGCGTCCTCAGACCTGGTGTGCCCCCGTCCCAGGGTCTGTGATCTTTTGGCCTCATGGTCGCCACTGCTGTCCAGCTGCCGTGGTGCCCTCATGACCCCTTTGCCTTCTCCTGTCCTAGCTACTCACGGAACCGCACCTTTGACACGTACATCGGGCAGGGCTACGTGATTCCAGGCATGGATGAAGGGCTGCTGGGTGTGTGCATCGGAGAGAGGCGGAGGATTGTGGTGCCCCCTCACCTGGGGTATGGAGAGGAAGGAAGAGGTGAGTGTCCCTGGTTCTCCACCTATAGCAGCTTCTAGAAAGGCAGGAGAGTGACCACAGCTCAGGCCAAGATGAGCTCAGGCTAAGATGCAATTGCCCAGGTGAGTTTAGTGTCTAAAGTTCTATTATTTTCTTATTTCTCCTTGTTCCCCCTCACCATTTTAATTTTTCTTTTGAGGAAATTTTTTTCTGCAGTACTGGAGATTGAACCCAGGACCTTGCACATGCTAGGCAAGCACCCGCCCAGTCTTTACCCTTGAGTCAGTCTTATTAAGTTGCTCAGTTTTGGCTCAAACTTGGGGTCCTCCTAACTCAGCTTCCCAAGTAACTGGGAATACAGAGAGAGCTACCACATCTGGCTCCTTTTGAAAAATTTTAAACCTACCACAGAGTTAAAAACCTATCCTATTCCATCTCACCAATTTTTAACATTTTGCTATATTTCATCTCTCTTTATGTTTGCTTATTTACTCTTTTGGCTGAACTGTTTGAAGGTAAGTGCCAAACTGTCCTTTTGAGTTTTTTTGTGTGTGTACCATGAGATTCACCCATTTAAGTATATGATCCAGTGACTTCTAGTACATTTAGAGAGTTATGTACCCATCACCATAATTGGGTTTTAGAACATTTTTATCACCATAAGAGCAAACTTCTTGTGAAAAGTCATAAGTATAAAAAGCTGGGTGTCTTAGTTACTTTTCTGGTTGTTGAGACAAAATACCTGATGCCCAAAGTTAAGAGAGGAAAGGTTTATTTAGTTCACAGTTTGTAGAGGTTTCAGTCTATAATCGGCTGGCTTCACGGAGGGTGGCATCACAGAGAACAGTTCACGGTGGGCAGCAGACAGCAAAATCAACACCCGGCCTGAACGGCATATTCCTGCTCCTTTATTCTCTCTGTAGGCTGCTGAGATTAGGGTGGGGCAAAACCAATCAGTGAACTGATCACACGCTCTTAGTCCCAGTGTCACACACTCTAGATCCAGTCGTCTCTGAAAAAGCCCTATGACCACATGAGACTTTGGGAGGACATCTAGACACAAGCCATAACACTGGTGTGTACACACCATAATCCCAGGCGTGTACCACACATGTAATCCCAGGTATTCCAGAGGCTGAGGCAGGAGAGTCACAAGTTCAAGACCAGCCTGGGAAATTTAGTGAGACACTGTCTCAAAAAAAAAAAAAAGGAGGCTAGGGATGTACTCAGGGTACAGTACTGGAAAAAAAAGTTAGATAAATAATATATTTTGGCTGTAGAGAAAGAAAATGCAAATAAAACAGAAATCTCCTGTAATCTCACCATGCAGAATAAACATTGTTAAGGTGGTAGGCAGAAGATTGGCCTCCAGAGATGTCCATATCTGAATCCTCAGAACTTGTTGTCTTATTAAGAGGGACTTTATAATTGCCAGTAAGTTCAGGGTCTCCAAATAGGGATGATAATATCCTGGCCCGTCCAGATGGTGTCCTTGTAAGAGGGAGGCAGGGGCGGGGCTGGGGGCAGAGGAGGCCATGGGAAGGCGGGGGGTCCAGAGGCTGGAAGAGGTGAGGAAACAGGTTCTCCCCAAACTCAGCAAGAAGAGCACTTTCCCACCGAGGCCTTGAATGTACACTGCTGACTCCAGAGGAATGAGAACTGGTTTGCATTGTTTTAATCCTCCACAGTTGAGGTAGCTTTTTATAGCAATAGAAAACTAATGCAATCATGAAGGGAACATTCTTCTGGATCTTTGCGTGTGTATACAAATTAAAACAGAAATACGTGTTTTCCTACGCCGGTAAGTACCGGCAAAATGGGATCATGTCACTTTGGGATCAACTTGGGATGTGGCATCCAGATCGCTTTATAATTTCACTCCACCCAGTTTGTTGTGAAGGACAGATATGTTGTGAACACCTTTCTCTGCCAACAGATATTTTCAGTGGCTGCCTAGTATTTCACCTCTTTTCTTTCTTGTCATATTTTTGCTCTTTTTTTCTGAAGACGGTCTTGCTCTGTAGTTGAGGCTGGCCAGTAATTCACTCTATAGGGACGGTAATATCCAAGCAGTTTTTTTCTCTTTTTTAGTCTGTTTGCAGTACCTGCAGTTTACAGTCCTCTCGGGAGTGGGCACATGTACACTATACAGCTTATTTCCTTTTTTAAATCTGCTTCCTTCCTGTGTCTCTCTCTTCTCTTCTAAATCCCCTTTTCCCATTTTTCACCCTTGACATTATTAATCTTAGCTCATGTTTACGACGTACAGTGTTTACATTCACTGAGGTTACCAGGTTCCTGTACCTGGCATATTTTTATTCTACGTACTTGCCCTCCTCTTCTCCCTCTGGCAATGCTCCTGCCTCAGCCTCCTCAGTTCTGGAATTACAGGGGTGTACCACTAACACCAGGCTCATATACTATTTTTGCTGACTTGCTAAGGAATGATTGAGGCGGTTACTTTGCTTCTGTGTTCTGTTTGCTGGTGGAATTCTTGCTGGTGTCCCTGGCTGTACTCCCATTTCTCCTGATGTGTACTGTACAGATCATGGGAATTTTCCCGGTGGGCTTCATGCTAGAGGAGCTAGGAAACATCACGTTGGTAGGAAATGAGGGTCTACGGAGGAGAAACTTTTCTTCATCCCCAATTTAAACTTCTGGCTTAAGCTTTAATAGATCAGCTGAAGTTGCACCCTGCTGGCTGTGCTTCCTGTCCTGTCCTTTAGTGGCCAGAAGCAGATCGGCAACTTCCTGAGTCCGCTTATTTCTTTATGACCCAAGGATGGCTCCTGCCTTACTTTGGAAAGAGTGCACTGATGAAAACCATTTTCTGAAACGCTTTTCCTTTTGGCTTTCCACCAAGTATGAGACAGAGCTCCACAAAACAAGCCACAGGCAGCTGTGGGAGGCCCCGAAGGCTTGCGAGTTCCCTGAGCGTGGGATCCACGGCTGCAGGGGAGGGCGCCAGGATGTGAGGCCCCGGCTTCCATGGGGGGCCGGCTTCTGTCCTCTCCTGAGCTGCACCTGTGGCCCCTGAGGGCCGTGCAGGACCCGCACCACTCAGGCTTCAGGACACAGATGTGTCTCATGTCGGCTTCCTGACCAGGGAGCAGAGGGCCAGGGACACGCAGGGCTCAGTACCAGCGTGTGGCGGGGACGACGCCGGGCTCTGCGCAGTGCTCAGCATGGTCAGCATTTCTGTGTGTCGTAGCTGGTCCTTCTGCAGGAGGGCGGGAGAAGCTGCCTCTTTCTGCCTCCAGCAATTTCCAGATGCTTCTGTCATCTGTTGTGTCGCAGGAGGGCCTTCCTGAAGCCCAGATGCCCTGAGGCAGGATGGTTCTGCCTGCGGGTTGTACGAGCATTGCCCCTTCGGTTGCTGCTGCCCAGCTCCCACATCAGCATTTGAGGACTTTTGAGGAGAACCAGGAAAAGCGCTCCTGGGAATGCGCCGGCCTGGCAGGGCTCCCACAGCGGCTCCTCATATCTGGCGGCACCTGTCTGCATCGTTGTCCTGGGTGTTCAGATGAAGTGATGAGGTCCCTGGCCGCATGGATTGTTAGTGACGGAGCCAGACCAGGACCCCGACTCTGACCACCTGTGTGCAGGCGGAAGGTGGTGAGGAGGCAGTGACTTGTTGACAGCTGCCTGTGGGGAATGGTGGACTCAGCCAGAGGTCGCAGGGCTCTCGTAGCAAGCCCACAGCCTCCAGGGGCAGGTGGTGCTGCCTCTCCTCTTTGTCACCTGCGTCTTTTACTGGGGCCACATCTTGCGTGAGCACGGAGTGACAACCTCTGCCCTGGTGGAGGGCTCGCTTGGGGTGGAGGCTGGCGTCAGGCAGCGACGAGGTGGTGAGCTGGTTGTGCCAGTTTGCTGGTGATGCTTGCCCGTTGGAGCTGCATTCAGGTGCTGGGCGGAGGCCTGGCTCGGGGCTCTACCTCCCACACCCACTTTGTAGGCCCAGAACTCTGTCTACCGCCAAGGGTTTGCTTGTTTGCTTGTCTGTCTGTTGGTCTGAGACGATGATAGGATTTTTTTTTAACTAGGTATGATTGAAAAATATGGTGAATATTTAAATTTTTTAAATTTATTAAATGTATCCCTCCTCACTTTGAACATATTAATCCCATCATTCTTGCTACTCTGAAGCAGTTCTGAAGTCCTCTTTCCGGAGGGTCTTTAGCTGTGCTGCCCTGGGGTGCAAAACGTTTCCCTTTCCTGTCGTTTTGACTTTGGAGGAGAGCCAGAAGCCGCATGATGCCAGGTCCAGAGGAGGGGCTGACTCGCTGCTAACGGGATGGGTACATTTTGGGTGATGGTGGTAACAACTGCACTGCATTGTGAACTTTAAGACTCAAGTGGAGCTTTGGGAACAAGTCCCATGTCCAACCCCATCTGGCTTCCCACAATCGTGTCCCTTGTGGTGATCGCCCAAGCACATTCTCTTTCACTTTGGAGAGTTTGGTGACCAGCCCCTCCCATTTCCCATGCCCGCTGAGGCAACCCATGGCCTGGGCTTTGTCCCTGGATTTTCCCTGGCCTTCCCTGTCAGTGGCCTTGAGCAGCCCCTGCTGTGTGCAGTCTGCAACTCCTGGTCCCCTGGGAAAGAGTCTCAGGGCTCACACTCCTCCTCCTACAGCCCTTCAGAGTGGATGCGCCCTTGGGCCCTCCTGGAAGCTCAGGCTTGCTTCTCCAGCATTGCCCTGAGCCTGGAGCAAGCACCAAAATTGTGCCTGTTTCTTTGTCTGTAAATTGGGACTATAGGATTATAAGAACTCGTCTCTGAATGTGGTGGTACAGGCGTGTAATCCCAGCATCCTAGGATACGAAGTCAGGAGGATTGTGAGTTTGACCCCAGTCTGGGCAATTGAATGACTTAGTGAGACCCTGTCTCAAAAAAAAAAAAAAAGAAAGTAAAGCCTGGGGATATAGCTCAGTGTGAAGGCCCTCGGTTCAATTCTAGAACCAAAAAAAAAGGTGTTGCAGGGGTTCAGTGAGAGAATGTATGTGGAAAACTTTTTTGTTCCCACTGTGAAGTTCAAGTTGACCTTGAACTCACAGAGGTACTCCTGCGTCAGCCTCCCAACTGCTGGGATCACAGCTGTGTACCACCACACCAACCGAAAAACACTCCTGTGAACTGTGAAAGTTCACTCAGATGAGAGGCAGTTTCCGGAGGCGGAGACGATGGGATGGCTGGAGCAGCGTGTGGGACAGGCGCTGCCTGCTTTCACCTCCCCGTAACCATCCCACCTCCCTCAGGGTGTGCGGCGATCTGGGCTGCAGCCCACAGTACTCAGAGCAGAGCGCGTGACCCTGAACACAACCGGGCCTCATTTTCACCCGCACAGCACCAGCTCCCAGTGTCCCATGCTCACCCCGCATCCGGGTTCTGTCCTTAGGGAACATACCAGGCTCGGCCGTGCTGGTGTTCGACGTGCACGTGATCGACTTCCACAACCCCTCAGATTCTGTCAGCGTCACCTCTCGCTACCGGCCACCCGACTGCTCGGTGCTGAGCAAGAAGGGCGACTTCCTCAAGTACCACTACAACGCGTCGCTGCTGGATGGGACGCTGCTGGACTCCACGTAAGGCTGGGGACGTTCCCCTCCCTGCCCTCCAGGGCCAGGGGCAGCTACTCTGTTCCTGCCATCGAGGGGCTGTGTCCCCTGCTTCCAGCTAACCTTGCCCTGTCTGCACTGCCTCCTTCTGTTGGAATTGTCTTGCGTGTGGATGCTGTCTCTGAAAACTGACCCTCGGATACAGGCCACTCTCCAGAGCCTGTCTACCTGGGCTGCCATTCTGCCTCACCAGTCAATCAAGGCCCACCTTACGCTTCCCAGGTGTGCCCCGAACAGTGGTGTGAGTCGTGCACTGCTCACTGACTTCCTTCTTCCTTCCAGCCAGCTTGTGCTCTGACTTCCGTGTCCTCCCTTTTCTCAAAACTGTTCCTTAATTTCTGGGAAGAATCAGTTCCCCCTGCTTTGTAGTCTCTTAGCTCTTCTTGCGTTACCTGCCCTTGTATCACCTTCCTGTCACTGTGACAGATCTGAACATTTTAGAGAAACCCAGTGTAGTCATTTGTGTTTTCACTCCTTGCACTCTGCCCAGGGCCTGCTGGCACAAGAGGATCATTCTGTGGGACTGAAGTGAGCCAAGTCTGGGAATAAGTCTCAGAGAATCCATGGTGTGAACCAGGACCATGAATAATGAAGTATGAGCTGGCTGGGTGTGGTGGCACATGCCTGTAATCCTAGAACTCTGGGAGGCTGAGGCAGGAGGATAGCAAGTTCTAGCCTAGCCTGAGCAACTTAGCAAGGCCCTGTCTCCCAAAAAAAAAAGAAAAAAAGGAAAGCAAAAATGCTGCCAAAAATAATGACAATCATAAAATGTTCTCTAAAAGAGAACATTTCATATTTCATAAAATATGAAAAAATCCACACTTTAGAATCGGTGAGATCTGGGCTTAACTTCAAGGGCCCCATTAGACGAGCCTGGTTTATGGACAGGTGTGGCACAGAAACCTAGTCGTGGCCCCGGCCGTGGGTCTGTGGGTCAGGTGCTGCCATCTGACACTGACAGAGCTCACGGCCCCTCCCCCGTGACATACTGTACTCTGCCTTGAGTGTCACATGTGTCCCTGTCCATCTGCAGGGAAGGGCAGCAGCCGGGGCCAGCTCCGCATGAAGTGACAGGAGGACCGCTGACACCTGCACTCTGGGGTTCGGCCTTGACCCCAAGTGGGCACCACGAGCCGGGGGTGCTGGTGCAGCCAGGTGTCGGGGCAGAGGGGACCTAGGGCCTGTGCAAGGACTTGGAAGGGACAAGGAGGAGCTGAGGGGAAAACTGATCCACAAATAAACGCAGGCTAAGAAAGGGCCAGAGGGAAAGAGCTGGGGGATCAGAGATGCCCGTGGGAGGAAGGCCTCACCTGTGGGCTGCAGCCACTCCAGGAGGAAGGACAAGCATCTGTGGTTGGTAACGAGGGGACTTTGGGGCCCAGGACAGACACTAGCCTCCTGGGCTCTGGTGGCCCCGGGGTGGTGTAGAAGGGTTATGACTCAGAGGCGCTGTCCTGCATCACCCCCCAGTGTTGAGCTTAGGGGACATCACTGATTTCCTCCTTGGCACTGAAGGACAGCCCAGGGATTGCCTTCGGGAAGTGACAGGGATGCCCGTGTCCAGCCCTGAGTGAAGGTAGAGACCAGCTCTTTTTTCTGACTGGGCCCTGGGGTCCGTGGGCATCTAGGGTGACCAGATGCTCAGGGACGTCTGTTGGTCCCAGGCACCCACGCCTCCCCCATGCCACCACCACTCTGAGTCCTTCCGTGCTCTGCCCATGGGTTGTTACTGGCCTTTTCCAGGGCTCCTGGGAGAGAACTGATCGTATCTCCATTTATAGATGTGAGACCAAGAGGGCTGGGGTGCGGCCAGCGCTGAGCCCTTGCCCAGTGTCCCTGGGTTCTGTCCCCGGCCCCACCAAGAAGAAGAAAAAACACCAAAAAAGAAACCGAAAGGCTTCCCAGGGTCACAGTGGATGGCAGGATTTGGATTCCAGTTCGGGTCTTGTACGAGTCCCCCATGATGAGCAGAATCATTACATACTGCACACAGGGATGGATACAAGTAAACAGATTCAGGTCCTGCTGAATCTAAAATCCATCGTCTTAGCTCTGATATCTGTAACAAGACACCCTCACAAAAATGCCTGGCCAAACACAAAGAGCACTTGCCCCGGGACCAGCGGGGGGCCACGGTGGCTGTCACACCCCCTCCCCGTGCTTCCCCATTTTGCCACACTGAGAATGAACCCAGAGTCTTGCTTGCCAGGCCAGAGCTGTGTCCTTGCCACTTCGAGTGCCAGGGACACTCGCAGGAATGCTGGGACACAACTAGGATGGCCTGTGGAACCTCAGACCTCAAATAAGTTCAGGATGTCCTCAGACCCCCCCCAGTGTTCAGTGTCCTGTGAGAGCCTGCCTGGCAGAAGAGCCCCATTCTGTGCCCCTTGGCTCCGGGACAGTCCCTCGGGGCTGACTGCGTCTGGTTGACCAGCTGTCTCCCTGAGGCTCGCCTGCAGACATGTCCTGGGGCAGCATCCCGTCCTGGGGAAGCCCCAGTGCCCGTGGGGCGGTGACTAATGGGGCTCCCCTGCTTCATTTTCAGGTGGAATTTAGGCAAAACTTACAACATTGTGTTGGGATTTGGACAAGTTGTGCTGGGGATGGACATGGGTCTCAGAGAGATGTGCGTGGGTGAGAAGCGGACGGTGATCATCCCGCCCCACCTGGGCTACGGGGAGGCTGGCGTGGGTAAGTGACAGCACTTGGGGGTGCTGGGACCCTTTCTTTTTCTGACCTTCTTATTTTTGTATTTTGAGAGCGGGTCTTGGTAAGTCAGTAAGTTGTCCAGGTTGGGCTCCAATTTGGAATCTTCCTCCCTCAGCCTTCCCAAGTGCTGGGATTATAGATGTGCACCACCATGCATGGTTTTTGGATGTGTTCATCATCTGAATTTTGTGTTTGGGGATGCCATGGAAGAAACTCTGTGTGTGATTTGGGTTTCTTTCTTTTCTTTTCCTTTTTTTTTTTTTTTTGAGTTTTTGGTGTTTTGGTTAAAGGCCCTGGGGGAGTCAGTGAGCCGCTGTTAGTAGCGCCCACTTGCTAGAGAAAACAGTTTTGGAATGAAGCCACATCTCACCTGCGTGAGGAACCACTGCGGGGTCCAGCCCTGGTGCTGCCCCTGGGCAGGGAGAAAGCTGTAGCCGCTGCCTCTCCTTGCGCCTGGCCTCCAAAGCAGCTAGAAAAATACGCTTTTGGCAGAGATTACTTTCACATTCTGGAAAAACTGGTTTCACTGCATGGTACAGTGGCTGTGTTTTACTTTATGATTGCCCCTCTCCCAGTCTTTACAGTGTTCTCACACTGCTGATACCTGGACCAAAAGTCCTAACTTGTGAAAATGATTGGGTCGATCTTTCTTTTTTTCCCCCCCTTCAGTACTGGGGATTAAACCCCAGGCCCTTCACACTGAGCTATATCCCCAGCCCCTTTTATTTTGAGACAGAGTCTTCCTGTGTGCTTTGAATTTGAGATCCTCCTGGCTCAGCCTCCCAGGTGCTGGAATTACAGGTGTGGGGTACCTTGACCAGTTTGTTATTATTCTTCAAGTTCTGCTGTTACATTTATTCAAAAGTTCTACCATTGTAGACTCTACTGGTGGCTTAAAGACATTTTTGCACCAAGATACACAGTAAGAAATATATTTTTTCTTCCAATTTGTTACAGATAAACATGTAATTTAGATATGTATTTAGCTTGAAAAATAAAATTGAAACTAAAGTTCCATGAAAGAGCCCAGGCATGGTGGCACATACCTGTAATCCCAGCACTCGGGAGGCTGAGGCAGGAGGATCCTTGGAAGTTCGAGACCAGCCTGGGCTACAAAGTGAGCTCAAGGCCAGCCTGAACTGCATAGCAAGACCCTGCTTCAAAAAGACAAAAATAGAATAAAATAAAGTTCCATGAAAAAATACCAATTCTAAGAGTGATATTCATGGATCTAGTTTATTTTGTTCCTTTATTTTTATATGATTATTATTACTATTATTTTTTGCCATACTAGTGATTGAACCTAAAACCATTGCACTGAGCTATATCCCCAGCCCCTTTTTTAATTTTTTGAGACAGTCTTGCTGAGTTCCCCAGGCTGGTATCAAACTAGTGATCCTCCTGCCTCAGCCTCCTGAGTGCTGGGATGCTAGGTGTGCGCTACACACCCGACTGCCTGTCTTTATTAACTTATTTATTTGAAGTGTTGTGGGTAGATCTCACCACTGCTGGGGGATCACTGCCCACCATTGCCAGCCAGCAGGCTCTGCCACCCTTGCCACCCGGCAGGAGCGTGGCCACGGTGAGGCTGGCTGGCCTGGCCGCACCCGCACTGACCCATGTCCCATCTTGAGCAGCAGGGGAGGTGCCGGGCAGCGCTGTGCTGGTGTTCGACATCGAGCTGCTGGAGCTGGTGGCCGGCCTGCCTGAGGGGTACATGTTCGTGTGGAACGGTGAGGTGTCCCCCAACCTCTTTGAAGAGATCGACAAGGACGGCGATGGGAACGTCCTCCTGGAGGAGGTGAGGGCTCTGTGGGATGGGCCTTGGGGGAACGAGGGGTCAGGCATGTGGGCCAGTGCTGTCACTCGCGCCCTGGCAGCTCAGGGCACGGACCAGGCCTGGGTGGTATTGCTGGGCACTTGCCACATGGCGCTGAGGCCTCCAACGGGTGTCCGGCTCCATGCTCGCCTTGGCCACCTTGGCATTGGATGTTCTGAAGAAGCCGCACAGAGAAGGCGGGTTGCCTATGGCACACAGCCGCCCCCAGCTTGAGCCAGGACACCACCCTCAGCGCTGCCCTCGGTGCTGCTCTGGTGCTCAGCGTGCCCTCCTTCCCGGGTGTCCGGCTCCCAGCTCCTCTACACATGAGTGCTGTCACTTTTTTCTCCCTCTGTGCCCTTCTGTTCTTTTTTTTTTTCCTCCCTTTACACAAAAACCTTGAACAACAACACTGGCCATGGTGGAGCATGCCTGTAACCCTAGTGCTCTGAGAGGCTAAGGCAGGCGGATCATGAGCTCCAGTCCAGCCTGGGCAATTGAATGACTTAATGAAATCTTGTCTCGGAAAAAAAAAATAAATTAAAGAGACTGGGGATGCAACTCAGTGCAGCGGCAGAGGGTCTGATCCCCAGTACTGTAAAAGACAAATGAGCTCTGAAGCACTGTCAGCCCTCCCTGCCTCTAATTGCTCTCCTGCTGTTCTATTTGTTTATTTTCGAGATACGGTCTTACTGTGTTACTGAGACTGGCCTCAAACTCCTGGTATCCTCCTGCCTCAGCCTCCCGAGTAAGTGGCACTATAGGTATAGCCACCACACTCAGCTCTCCATTCTTTTAAAACTTTTACTTGGATTAGTTCGTGTTTGCAGCGCATAGTGAAACTTTTCATTCTTTCTAAAACCCACTTCTGACAGGCTTTTGTCACTCTGCCATTGAAGCTGGCCTTGCCCAGGTGACAGGTTCCATGGTTGGGGCCCCCTCTCCCCTCATCTCAGCCCAACCTCTTCTCGGGGAGGATCCCCAGGCCCTCTGGAACCTGGCTTTCTGTGTTCTTGCCCTGTAGTCCCTACTGACCAGGCTACCTGGGGCGGGCGGCACTGGCCTGTCACTGGCCTCCATTGTCTCTATCTTTCAGCCTCCCTCAGTGCCATGGTCCTTCCTGTGAGCCCCATCCCTGCCCATTTGTGGCTTCATGGTCGCGCCCTTTGCCGGGGGACACACACAGCTGTGTCTCCGCCTCTGTCCTTGGTGTCTTAGCTGCTCCACCTCCCCGCCGTTCCCATCCTGTGCAGTGGCTGTTCGCAAGCGCAGTGTGGCCGTGGCTGCTGGGCCCCACTCCTCCCGGCCGCTACCACCTCCCTCCTCCCTGGCCAGCGCGTGTGGCCACTGCAGGCCTTTGCACAGCTGTCCTCTCTGCCCAGAGGCTCCTGGATGTCTGGACTCAGGACTTCAACCCCTCTCCCTCCTTCCTTAGCTCAACATCCTCATTTTCCCGGTGCATTGTACTTCGTGCTGTTGGTCACTTCCTTATTGCACTCATTACGTGTCCCTTCCCCTGCTCAAGTGCAGTTTGGCACAGGCAGGGTGGGATGTGTTCTGGGTCCAAATCAGGCTTGTGGTGCTTTCCGCCTTGTGAAGGATGCAGAGAAGGGACCGTGCCAGCAGCCCCTGTGTGGACCCGTGTGCCCTCAGGCCCTGGAGTCCCTTGGTCTGCCGGTTTTCCACCTGCATCTTGTCGTTTCCAGGGCAGTCCTGGCCGCTGTGGACACTCGGACTCAACCCAGCCCGATCCCCCTCGGGCGGCTCCAGTGCTGGCTGAGGCTCCTCGATCCCCGCTGCTGTCACTCACCTCTGTCCTGTCTCCTCTCTCCCCAGTTCTCAGAGTACATCCATGCCCAGGTGGCCACTGGGAAAGGGAAGCTAGCTCCCGGATTTGACGCCGAGATGATTGTGAAGAACATGTTCACCAACCAGGACCGGAATGGAGATGGGAAGGTCACAGCTGAGGAGTTTAAGCTGAAAGACCAGGAGACCAAACACGACGAGCTCTAGTGCACAGCTTGAGCCAGCCGGTGCCGCGGAGCACGTGGCACCTGCCACTGTCACGCCGCGAGGGTACAAGGGTCTCCAGAAGTGAACGTCAGCATTGGCAAGTGGGTCCATGGCACCTGGTGCACATGTGGGGTGGGTCGGGACTGAACCTGGGCCGGGGCCTTGGCCTGGAAAGGACTGGAAAGGCTACCTTGCCGAGCATTATCTGTGTGCCTTTCAGGACTCTTTGTATTTAATGGAAAAGAGCGCCATCTTGGAGGAACAGGAGAAAAAGTGTCCAGCGTCTGCCTACAGAGATTAAAGTGTTTTTTAATCATGAGTGTCTTAAACATGTTCTCCACATGGGCAGGAAAGATGAAGAGTGCACGGGCCCTGTGGGATGCCCGGACAGTGAGCCCGGCCTCTGCCCTCCCCGCAGCCAGCCCACAGGGCCCCTCCTGTGGTGGCGCTCCTGGGGGTCGGGAAATGCAGTGCACCACACAGCGAGTCGGGCCCAGAGCAGCGAGCGCGATCCTGCAGCTGTTGCCCAGGCTTCTCTGTGTCGCTCCCACCACTCTGTCCCCTTCCACGCTCTTCCAGACACGGGCACATGAGGGCTGGAGGCCGGGCCTTGCTGAGATGGGCCTGTCGCCCAGATGAGCCCCTGAACGTAAGTGGGACCTCTGTCCTGCCACTTGTGTGCGTCCCCCCGCGGGTTGGGGGCTGGGGGACCTCCCTGCCATAGCAAAGTAGACACACACCTGGCACCCTGCCCCTCATCACTCAGTGATCACGTCTGCCTTGTGTCCTCTTTCCCCGAGCGGGATTGGCACTTACCCTGGAGTGTTAGGTGGCTTTTCCTTTTGAACTGCTCCACTAATTTAAACTGTTTTGTCCTGATGTAACCCTGAGGTAGTTCATGAAAATGCTATGTGCTTGTTCCATGCAATAAATGTCAGAAACTTGGTCTTTTCTGGTATAAAGTACTGTTTTATTGCTAGGCCGCGGGGTTGGAGTCTCCTTGCTGGAAACTCACAGGCCTGTGCTGCCCGGTGGGGAGGAGAGCGTCAAGGCCCCACGGTGTGGGGACCTTTGCATGCTGTCCTGGCAGGAAGTCCGGTTAGAGAGAAGAACCTGTGACATCAGTGTCAGTCAGCCACAGAGGCCACAGGAGGCAGTGGCGCTCCGGGCAGAGCCCTGCAGGGGGACAAGGCCCCAGAACTGGGTGGCACCACAGCCAAGGAGGCGCCTCAAGAAAGGGGCTCGGGCTCCTCAACAACCAGGCAGAGAAGGCTGGGGTGAGCCTGGGGTGGGAACTGACAGCAGCTGACACCTGGACTGTGGTTCTGCTCTGCAACAAGGTCTCCAGGTGAGGTCAGAGATGCCTTAGATGCTGGCGTTCCTTGGCCCCGTCACCTGACTTTCACTGATGTTTTCTGCGACAGCTCCTGAGTGTGTGCTGGTGGTTAGTGACCCTGCTCCTTGCAGGCTGACTCACCCTGGGCATGCAGCTGACCCCATGCACTGTGCTCACGGCCTTCATGGGGATAGAACCACGTGCACGTTCTCCGCCTCGATTTCATTCAGCCCTGTGTGAATGTCTTTGTGGGTTGCTTTGGATGATGGTGGGTTCTGGTTTGCAAAACCAGAAGTTTCTTTGGGGAAAGGAGAGGGTGGCCTTAGAACTCAGGAACAGAGGCCATCAGGCCCTTCCGTTCTTCCTGAGGTTCGGAGGGTCCGGCTGAACTGTGGCTGTGTGGGATGCAGGACACCCAGGCAGGCTGCCTTTCTGCTGCCACTGCGTACCTGCTGTGTTTGTGGGTGGCCGTGGGTTAGGGCATGGGTGGGCTTGTAAGAGTGGACATGCAAAGGGGAAATGCAGGGCAGAGACCCCGTGGGGCTCCTGATCACACCATGTACGTCACTTCATTGTTGCTCGAGACAGGAGCTTCTGATGGGAACAGCTGCCAAGACCCAGCTTCTGCCTGGGACAGTCTGCTTTGGTCCTAGACACCAAGCGCGGGACTACGACATTGCAGGCACCCATGTGATGCCACACGCAGGCCAACTTCAAGTGCAAGCAGTGTGCACTATTTCGTTAACACCGGTGAACTTGGATCTCGCATTATTTACCAATTTTGGCTTTTCAAAATATTTTGCTTGGAACGACACCATTAGCTGGCATGAACGCAAGACCTTAGCACTAAGTGCGGCTCCCTGCCTCATACATGACTTTAGTAGCTGAGGTTTCCAGGAACAAAACCTGCTTCTTTTGCAGCTTGTTTCCTTGGTTAACAGTCTGGAGGCTTTTTCATTTAATAACAAACTGATCTTGATTATTTATGGCTAATTGCACATGTGACTTACTAGGGTTTGGTTTTGTGTGGTCTTTATTGTTAGGCTTTGTTTGGTCAGGGGATTCTCTCAGCTTACCCTGGCCACATTTAAATCTCAGACAATGCTGTATGTTAGGGTTCTTTTCTTTTTTGAGGTGCGTCTCCTTATGTTGCCCAGGGTGCTCTCAAATTCCTGGGAGAACAGCCACATGCCACCGTGCTTAGCTGACTTTGGAGCTTGAGTGTCCCCAGAAGTCCCCGCTATAGCAAATGCTGGGAGGTGGTGGGAATGCTGGAACAGGCCAGGCCTGTGGGGTCCTCTGGTCACTGGGGGGGATGTGCCCTCAGGAGACAGTGGGATGCAGGCCCGGTTCTCTCTCTTCCCCTCACTGGCCATGCGGTGAGTGGCTTTGCTGTCACAGGCGCCTGCCATTGTGTCCCCCTTGCATGGGCCGGAAGCCATGGGGCTGACAGAAGGTGGACTGGCCCCTCTACACAGAGCCACAGTGAAGCCCCTCCCTGTGTGAGTTGGTTTTCTCGGGCGTGTGCTGGAGTAACAGAAAACCAACTAACAGCACGCAGACAGCACCAAATTTATAGTTTCTGCTGAATTTCTCCTTTGTGCTCCAGGCCGCTTTATCTCGTAGCTCTCCAGGCACCGGGCACTCTGGGTGTCCAGATGGGACATTCCTACCCCTCCAGTGGACTCCTGCTCTCCTCGCGTCTCCCCGACACCCACCTGCAGCAGCTGCTCCCCGGCTCTACTCAGAATCGCTGGCTTGGTGGCTGTGCAGCCTCCAACAGATGTGCGGGGTTCACCCTGCCCGCTGTCCATTCTCCATGTGTACAGTAGGATCATGGTGCCCTAGGGAGGCCAGAGAACCAAGCGGGTTGTGACCTGTGAGGCCCCCTGTGGCCCAGCAGCCCCCTGCTCACATCTTCCCATCACCCATCATTCTGTTACCCCAGCTCTCAGTGCTGTAAACGCTGTCTGCTGGAGCATCTGTACTCCACCCACACGGCCACTGCTCCCTACCCTTCGGGTTTCTGCTTCAGCATCGCCTCAGTCCCGTCGCCTGTGTTTTCTTCATGGCACGTATCATGTTTATGTCTTCTCTCTTCCACTAGAGATGGAAGCTACAGGAGGGCCTGAAGCACAGCCCACTTAACTCTTACTCCTCTGGAAGCTGTGATATGAGTAGCTCTTCATTTAGTCCTCAGCCCAGCTCCACGGCGCAGATGAGGACAGTGAGGCTTAGAGTGAGAAGCTTAGTCCAGTCACAGAAAGCCTTGGCTCCAAGTGACTATTTCGTGTGGTTGGTTTTTGTTATATCGTGACAGTATCTTGCTATGCAATCCAGGGTAGCCTCCAATACTCAGTCTTCCTGCCTCAGCCTTCCAAGTGGCTGTGATTACAGGTGTGTGCCAATCCACCCAGCACCTAGCAGGTGTGACTTTTCAAAGCTTGTGTCCCTTACACCTTGAGTACTTTTTATCTATTAAACTTCTGAAACACCAGATTAACTGTGAAAGCTGGCCTAATGCTTGCTTTATTGGGTGACCACGGAAAAGTTTCAGGATTAGTCATTCAAGGTCATGTTCATCTTTGCTGAATCTCTTGAAAGTATACCGAAGAGAAAACCCTATGCCTATAGGCTGGCTAAACAGACCTTCAGCTATCTTCATTTTGGTGTCTGTTATGCACAACGGGATGTAGACTTCTCGTGAAATCGCTCTGGAGTGAGCTGGCATCACCAATGATTGGTTTTCCCTTTTCTAAAAGTCAAACTTTTTCTAGTACTCAAAGCTGCTTTACAACAGAAAGCAGTAGTTAAAGCCAGACACGAGTGGTGGCACACTCCTGTAATCCCAGCACACAGCAGGCTGAAGCAGGAGGACCATGACTCTAAGGCCAGCCTGGGCTACACAGTGAGGTCTTATCTCAAAAACCTAAAAGGCCTGGGGCTGCAGCTCAGTTCTAGAGCACTTGCCTAGTATAAACATGGGTTCAATCCCCAGCATCTCAGTAATAATTGTAAAATTGAGCCACTGGCTGGAAAATGTGATAATAGCAATGTGTATGGGGGCTCCAAAAGATACTTCTGCCACATTCATCCAACCAGACACCAGACTGGGGGGTGGAGTTGTTCACTTTTATGGATGTGACAATATTGAATTGTTGGCTACTGTTCTAAATTCACTGACACACTTGAAATGCATGCAGAGGAGCATATCCAGTCCTCACATATCTACGAGTATATTACACTCACTTTATGGATGGGCACCTGGGATACTGATGCAATAACCTGTCCTGGTTTCAGCGCTGATCATCCCAAAAGACTCAAGCCCAAACCACCCTGGTGGGGCGATGACCAAAATCAGAAGTCTGACCCCGCAGCCTATTTCTCAACAGCTGCAGTAAACTTCTGACACCAGAACTTGAGTACAAAATTTTAAAATGTCAGTAGCATCAAGCGGGAGATGTAATGGGTCACAAGCTTGTCGCAGGGGATGTCAGAGGGACCTTGGAGATGTAGCACTCTAGGTTCATGCTGTGCTAGGGTGCCGAGCCCCGAGGGGATGCGGTTGGAACTGCGGTGCTGTCTCAGCATGTATGCTGCTCCTTCAGGAAACAGCCCAGTGACAAACTGTGATGCTGATCTGGGAAGAAAGCACTGTCAGATCAGCCACACGCACCTTCTCTACAGGAAAAGCCTTCTGGGTGGTTCTGATACTTCTGTTCTGCTCTGGTAGGCTTGTGTGTGTGTGTTTAATGCTGGGATCCAGCCCAGGGCCTTGCTCATGCTAAGCATGTGCTCTAATGAGTTGGGTATCTATCTCTATGTTCCCCAGCTGGTCTCAAACTTCAGGACTCGTGATCCTACCAACTCAGCCTCCTGAGTAGCTGGGAACACAGATGTCCCCACCATGCCCAACTCACAAGTTTAGTTATAAGTCTGATTTTGGAAATACAGAGGTGATCAAAATATATGATGAATGTTATATTTTAAAAATTTGTCATGGTAGGACATTGGCAAGAACCTCCCTCAAAATCTTTCCCCTTGATTCAAACACTTACACCACGGCTCTTGCCACTTTCTGAAGTAGGTCTGGAAGTCTTCTTTCCTGAGTGTCTTTACAAGGTGAGATTAAAAAATATGGTGAATACTGCTGCTGAGTACCATCCACCAGAAAAAGGCAGGCTGGTACAAACACGACAGTGTCCTCATCCACCTTATTCACCAGATCTGAGACCATGCAATTTTTTGCTTTTCCCCAAAGTCAAAATGACTAAGAAACATCAACATTTTGAATCAATTCAGGACATCAAGTCAGCCGTGAAAGTGCAACAAAAGACACAAAAGAGGGCTTCCAGACGTGCATCAGAAAGTACCAATTATTAAACATTCACTGTACTTGACAGCTCAGATCCATTCTATCTTTTGCTCTTGCTTTTTGACAGGGTTTCACCATGTAGTTCAGGCTGGCCTTGAGCTCACTACGTAGTCTAAGCTGGCCTCAAATTCTTGGCGATCCTCCTGTTGTCAGTGAGTAGTATCGGTGTGGTGTGCACCACCCCGCCGGCTGCTCCTGCGTATTTTGTCTCACTGTTTGTTGTCAGAGGAACAAATGACAGAGGCTAAGAACGGGTGTCTGCAGGCCATGCGACCTTGCCTTTCTGTCACTCTCCTGGACCAGAAGCCCCATCCAGGGCAGAAGTCCAGAGCTATCTGCTCCAGCTGTGTGGAGCACAGCTCAGAGGCTGTAGCGAACCAGCTGGCTGCTGGAGGATCTGGAGGATCTGGAGCTGGGGTCAGATGGGTCGCAGGTATCTCCGCTGTGCGAGTCTAGAGGCGCTGGCTCTCCTGCGCACTGCTCAGTGTTCACTGGGAGTCACAGCTATAGCTTGTTTGTGATATTTTGAGAATAAAGCTCTCACTTTCCCTCATGTTTGCAATGCGGGAAATAATTTTCAGAGGCCTTGGTATGTTCTGAAGGGCAGAATAAACCTCTCCCACAAATATCTTGTTAGGCTTGAAGTTACAGTGTATAATCTAGAAAGCCACTATGACAAGGACGTTAGAATTCGTATGTACAAAATGAGAGAGTGGGAGAGAGGAACAAAAAACACCAAATATATTCAGTAAATATTTGCTGAATAAACAGACTTTTGTGTGTGGGGGGTTGTGGGTGCGAAGTGCTGAGCCAGAGTGCCCCGATGTAGACCAGCCCCGCCTGGAGCTCTGAAGCCTCCTGCCTCAGCCTCCCAAGCGCTAGGAGTATAGGCCTGTGCCATGCCCAGCCTAAATAAGTCAGTCTTGACAGCAGGATTAAAAAGACTTTCATTTCATGTTTATTATCAGTGCTTTGACAGAACATGTTATAGATTAGTGAATGACATGTGGACACCAACAGTTTTTGCCAGTCTTCTGGTGAGTATTGATTTTGCTCAGACAGAGTAACCAAATATAATATAATTTTGGGAGATGGACGTAACACTGGCATAATCCACCCAAATGACAAACACGGCAATACTTAAAATCATGCACATTATTTCACCATTTCATAAAACACTTTAAATTTCTACGAACTTTCCTGTTATTAAAAAAAAAAAACTCCTCAAAAAATGCATGATACCATGAAACTACAAAATTTACCTTGGAAAAGTAGGGAGTTACTTTTCTAATTCTGGCTGTAAAATTTTTTTTTTTCAAGTTGGTTAAAAAACATGGCAAGGAGTGTGTTGAGAGAAGTGGGAGAAGAGTTTCCAGTTGAAGGATGCACCGGGTCTGACTGAACACTTTAGCTGCGCAGAGGGAGAGCTTCACCACCAAGAATTCATTATAAATAAGTCTTCTGGTGAGAGGGAGTCGAGCAGTCCAGGAGCGAGGCCCTTTTACAAACACCTGCTACAGAATCTTCTGTAGAATGGAGTTGGCCACCTCCAGTGATTCATCTTTTACTAAGACAATATCGTAAGTGTCCATGTACTTTTCTAATAGCTCATCTACCTAACGAACAAAAGAACAAAATGAAAATTAACATGTAGGGAGGAGAAGCAAGCAATTTCAATATTAATCCCACTGTTATGTTAGATCTGTTGGGCAAAATGGAGACATATCAATTTAATTTCAGAAAACTTTTGAAATGAGAACATTTAAACTAAGACTCACTGACAGGAATTTTCCCATAGGGTAGCTTTTTGTCCAAAGTGATTTCTCTCCAGCCTGCGGGTGATTCTGTTCTGAGAACTCTGGGCAGAGTCTGGAGGCTTTTCTGATTCTCATGTCAAGGGAGGGGCAGCCAGCATCTGGCACCACTTGTACAGTATCCACCTTCCTCTCCCGTATGGGTAGTGTGGACCTGTGCTTCTCAGCGCCTCAAATCATCACCAAAGTGCAGCGGTAAAGATTCTCACGTGCCTGTAGTAGCAATTACCTATATTCTTTTTTCATTTTTTCTTAGAAGAAAATTTTAGACTTATATACTCACCCTATCGTTTAGATATCCAATTTTCAGAATATGCTCGACGTTGGCCACCCCATCTGCCATTCGCAAGTCTCCTTGGGAATCTCCCAGCAGAATTATGTTGCTGTTGTCTTTTAGCTGACTGAAATAGTCTGTATTCTTCAAGGCACCATCGTGTTTGTTGAATACATGGATTAGTTCTCCTTTAAACCCTATGAGCACCCCCTGTAAAAAACAGAAATGTTCTAAAGTAAGAAGTCTTATAAAAACTATTTGTTAGACTCTCATATTTTACAGTTCTTACTAGGTGCCACTATTATTTTATTGCAAGAAATTTACAGCCAGGCTTGGAGGCACATGCCGTACTCCCAGCATTTGGAAGGCTGAGGCAGGAGGATCGTTGCAGTTTGAGGCCAGCTTGGGCTACACAGAAAGTTCAAGGATAGCCTGGACTACACAGTGAGTTCAAAGACAGACTATACTACACAGGGAGACCCTGTCTCAAAAAAAAATTACAAAGCACTTAAATCTGAATTGATCACATTGACAGCAGGTACGAAGGGCTTCACAGGTAACTTACTGTCCAGTGACTACTTTAAGTGGGAAACACAACGGACTAAGAATACAACTTTCACTTTTCATTTTGTTCCTAACCAAAATACTTCATTTTATGAATTTTATAATATATCATCTTCTTGTTAAGACATGGCTGCATTCTCTACCTCAGGCTGTGTACAACTCTTGATCCTCCTGCCCCAGCCTCCCAAATGCTAGGATTACAGGATTAAATCACTACACCATGCTAACTTACTATCTTAATTAGGGACATTTATTTAAATAATGTCAGTTCTAACTCACTTCTTCTTTTCTAGCTATGAATGTTAAATCTTCAGAACTGCTGCATTAGATTACAGTAAGAGAAATTTTATAAATTTTAATGAGTCTATAACTTGTACACCGAAGTTTAACAAGGGTGTATTATTCTAAAAATACTACAGCTGTAGTAACACGAGAGAGGATGACGATGATAGGCCTATCAACTTGGCTTACTTTAATGAATATGTGTCAAATAATAAATAAATAAATTTACATGATTAAAGTATTTTCAGATTTTAGAAATAACTGAAAGCTGAGTGGTGGCACATGCCTGCAATTCCAGATCCTTGGGATGCTGAAGCAGCAGTATCACCAGTTCAAAGTTAGCCTGGGCAACCCAGTAAGACTAACCCAGTAAGACTCAAAAACTAAAAAGGCTGGGGATGTGCTCAGTGCAAGGGTCTGGGATTCAATCCCTGAACTATGCGGAAAGAAAAAAAAATTGAGGAATGACTTCATATTCTTACATTTTCATCAAAATCCATGAAGTTGGACACGACTTTGACATTTGGATGATAAACTCCAGCTTGACGAATAACTTCTTCTAGAACATCACCGATACCCGCAGAAAATATAAACACAGGGATACTGTACTGTTGGAGTTTATCAAAGAAATTCTCATACCCTTCCCTGCAAGATAGAGAGACAAAGTAATTGTTACACAGCAAGGTTTATCTCCTTTTCACTTAGAAGCTGAAAAGCAAAATATTTCTACCTAATTCTATGGCTCATGTATGTCCTCACTTCAAAATACTGCCCAGGAGGGCAGTTATTGATATACATGTTCCTACCAGCACATGTTTTTTAAGTGACAGCTGACTCTACTTTCCTTGTAATTAGCTGTAACAGTACTGTTATGGTTTGTGTCTGGGTGTCCCCGCAAAGCCTCATGTGGTCATGGGGCAGGCTTTTAGAGTTTGATTGATTATGGGTGTGAGAGCTACACCCGCCCTGGGGTGGATAGTTTGCATATGTAAGGGAGAGGAAGAGGGTGCTTCTGGCCATTTCCTCCTTTTGTGGTTGTTGCTGTTGCTGTGTTCTGCCGCCATGAACCTTTGCCCTCTGCCATGTGCCACTCTGCCTTGTAACCTGCCAAGTACGGACTGAAACCTCCACAAACTGTAAGCAAAATAAACCTTTCCTTCCTTAATTTTGGGAGTCAGGTATTTTGTTCCAGCAACAAGAGAAAAGTAACCAAGACAAGTACTAACTAGATGTCTTTAGACTCATACCAACTACACAAGCCTACTAGTCCCAATTTGCATGATTCAAAGCAAGCCATCAGCCACTTCTGTGAGCCAGAGACCCCTGCTTGATGTCCAGCTGTCTGCTGTCTACTGCAGAAGAGCAAAGCAGGACCTCACTGCATTCTCTTCACTTCTGGCCACTCTCCATCCCAAAATTTTATTTTTTTATTTTAATTTTTTTCCAGTACTGGGAATCGAACTCACGACCTTGCGCTTGCCAGGCAGGTGCTATGCTGCTGAGCTAAATCCCCAGCCCCTTCCAGCCCAAAATTTTAAAATCTTCTTTCCCTCCTTTAACTGAAGGTTAAATCAGGCTGTAACTGTATATGAATAAATACTCAGTGCACTCTTTCTGACAGTTTTATGCTTTCCTCTGTAGAAGTACTTACCTTAAAATATAGCAGCATCCAAACACGGGGCAGGTAAGCTAGAGTGTAGCTTAGTGGTTCAGAGCTTAGCTAGCCAAAGTGAAGCCTCTGGCTTTAACGCCCAGCACCGTGAAAAGATTAGCATCATTGTATTTGCCTAGTAAGTTGATAATTTTATGATGTGATAAACAGTACTGAAAGTAGAAGCTTCTCATATATTATAATTCATGCATTGCAAATATTTTAATGAGGTACCTTTCCCAGAAAGTACTCAAAGAAGTCTGAGAATTCAGTAGGCTCGTGAATTTATAAACAATATATAAATTTACATCCTTTCCAACTTGATTTGTAAACATTCCTTTCATAATTAGTTCTTTTGAAAGTATTCTGCTAAAGAATTTCAAAATGGTCTTGGTTGGATAAATTTGTAAGTTAATCCTGAATTTTTTAATCTGGAGAAAGGAAATACAAATTAGTACTGAACTCTCCCACGGCTCTTGCCATCAACACGGAATGTAACAGGTAGTATTTCACCACTGTCCATTTTGTGGCAGATGGTACACGTTGAATATTTTAATGGAATGTTAAGCCTTAATTTAGTAAAAACATACAGTTGAGTACGTTTTTAACAATAGTTCAATTCTGTTGACAGTAACAAACATCCCCAAGAAACTTACTTGAGCATAACATCAGATTCTGCCACAATTTCCTTGAGTTTAGCTTTTGGTATGCGCTGTTCAACAAGCAAACCATGCGACTTTGTATACCTGGAGTTTTGACCAGAGAGGGAAAAATAAATTAAGAAAATTATCTTTATTATAAAGCACTCAGTAGAGAAAAAGACTTGTGTTCCTCACATCTGAACTTAAATCTTATAGATTTAAATTCAGCACTAATGAATGTATATGCCAAATGTATCTCAAAATGTGATATGCTTTTTATTTTTTGGGCAATACTGGCGAATGAACCCAGGATCTTTGCACTGAGCAGCATCCCCAGCCCTTTTCATTTTGAGCCACTAAGTTACCCAGGTTGGGCTGCAACTTGTAATCCTTCTGCCTCATCTTCCCAGGATGCCTGGGTTACAGGTGTGCACGCCCTGCATGGCCTAGTGTGTATATTCTTACAGCATTTTGCAGTTCTCCCAAACTCAGTCTTAGCTTAAATAGTTAATCTGGTAATGAAAGGAAACAGATTTTAAAGCCTTTTCTCCATCTAAGAACTCAACCCACCCTATGGCATCACAATTTCTGATTGTATAGGATCTTTTTTGCATTTGTTTGCAGTTTAAATTTTCATGAAAAGTATAAAGATGCTCCCTAGTGAGCAAGAGTCCTTGGTATGGCCAGTGCTGTGTGGATTAGCCTGCTTTGTAATTATGTAAGAAACCTACAATCACAGCACCCTAATGTGAGGGTCTCTAGAATGGAACTCTTACCCCACCCCATAAAAAGCCCAAATCACCCCTCAATACTTTCAATTGATCTTCCTCTCAGCTGCAGTCAGCTTCCTGTCAGCCAGTGAGCTCATTTTCCAAGGGAAACTTCTACTGCCAGACAATTCTAACTCCCAGACAGTCCTTTCTTTCATTACGGAGAAACCATTCTTAATCCTTTCAAGTCTAGTTCCAGTTTTTCTGGGTGGGGGGGGTAGTGGGGGGAGCGATGAGATAGGGTCTTGCTATGTGGCCCAGGCTGGCTTTGAACTTGCAGCAATTTCCCTGCCTCAGCCTCTCTAGTGCTGGGGTCACAGGTGTGAGCCACAGTGCCTAGCTCCAGTTCTACTTCTAAAAGAGCATATATAAAGTCTCTTTTCAAATTTAAAGTCATAAACACAGATGAACTGTATCTTGTTAGATAATAGGATAATGAAGATAAATACTTCTAGTCTCTTCATATTTTAAAGAAACAGTCAGGCCAGGCATGGTGGCGCATGCCTGTAATCTCAGCACTCGGGAGGCTGAGGCAGGAGGACTGATGTGAGTTTGAGGTCAGCCTTGGTTACAAAGTGAGTTCAAGGAGAGCTCCAACTGCATAGCAAAAACTTGTCAAAGAAACAAGAAAAAAGAAAAAAGAAAAAAGCAAGCAACAGTTGCTTTTCGAATCAAGGCACCTTTTTTGGAAAAACAGGACTGAGGATCTAAAACAGAATCCAAGCATGCTAGGCTAGTGCTCTGCCCCTGAACTACACAGTCCTTGCCTGACTCAAACCACGTTTTACTCCTTGAAATGCTCTTCAAATGGGATGGCTCTGGCGGATGGCTCTAACTCCTGTTTGTCACGGTCTGTGAGGACGGCTTTGTCCTAGAGCCCAACACCACACCCATACTGGGGCTTGCTGGGAAGCTGCACTATGGTGAACGCAGCCCACGTCAAAGGTCTCTTCATCAGCAGTGGTATCAGCGGCTGGACCAAAGTGAATTCAGAGTCAATTACAACTTTAATCTTTTTTTTTGCACATTAAGCCACATCTTACCCATATATTTAAAAAGGTCAAGTTTGTTTTTTGTTTTGAGACAGGGTCTCACTATGCAGTTCAGACTGGCCTCAAGCTCACTTTGCAGCACAGGCTGGTCTCGAACTCACAGTGGTCTTCCTGCCTCAGCCTCTCAAGGGCTGGGATTACAGGCGTGTGTCATCATGGCTGGCTGGTCAGTTTTAACTGTAACAATTGTATTCACTTTTCAGTTCCCACCACTTACCATTCTACCATATAAGGGAACTTCTCCTCCACGGTAAGCACAGGGTCCACTTCAATAGCATAATACTGTTCCTTCAGTTGCAGTAGCTAGAGAGAAACAGGACTTCATTATGAAGGTTACAGTCTTGTTACTAATCTGCTTTGTTCTATAGAAAGCAAAACAATGTAAATAGATGTTTTTCATAAAGTGTCTTCTCGGTGAAGAGTAAATTGGGCTGATGCACCACTCCAAGAGAATGTTGTTGGTCTTACATATTCCTACAAAATCTACTTAGAATTATTCATCAGACTATCACTACAAAAGAACTTTAGTCCTCACATGGAAGTATTAAAATGGATTCACATTGTGGATCTTATTTGGTTTAAACACACAGAGGTAGACACTCAAGCAAAGTACTGAAGCAATTTCCTGATCAAAGGGAACCAAAAAAATATAAAACCAAAATACTTTTGTTCTAATTTTCCAGTTCATGTAATACATTAACATTTCAGTAATCATTTAGAAGTTTTAAATCTAAGGTTTGCCAGTGTTATGGTTTAGATCTAGATGTTCCCCCAAAGCCTCACGTGCTCACAGTGGGCCTTTGTGAAGTGACTGGGTCATGGGTGTGTGATAGTCCTCCGATGGGTTTATAGCTGGGTGTGACGCTGGGAGATGAAGCCTGGTGGGAAAAGCTGGATCGCTGGGAGCCTGACCTAGAAGGGTGTGTATATTTATTACTTCTCCTCCCTGGATGGCTCTGCTTCCTGCCACCATGCCATAAGGAAGCCTCCTCTGCCATGCCAACCGGCCTTGCAGCCAGCCAACTACAGACTGAAGCTGCTATACACCGTGAGCCAAAGTAAACCTCTCCTCCTTTAACTGGTGGTGTCAGGTGTTTTGTCCAGCAACAACTAAGTAACTAAGACAGTTGGTTTGAAAGTTACAGTTAAGTTTTCCTTAAAAATACAGTGAAGGTGGATAGCAAGGCATGGTGGTACTATAATCCTAGCTACTCCCAAGGCTGAAATATAAGTAAATTTCAGCCAGCCTGAGCAACTTTTTGAGACCCTGTCTCAAAATAAAACAGGACTGAAGGTGTAGCTCAGTGGTAGGGCACTTGCCTAGATATATGAAGGCCTGGGTTCAATTCCTAGTACCACAAAGCAAAGCAAAATAAAACACTTTTTGTTTGTGTGAACAAACCTGATGTGATTCTCAGGCAACAGAGACTAACTCTGCATTCCTGGTAGTGCTTACCTTTTTGCGACATTCATCCGTTACCAGCTTACAGTTATCAATGACATCTAGTGAGAAAGCAAACAGGCTTTAAAAGAAAATACTCTGATTGATGCCACTGCTACCAGGAATAACTGGGTACTTTTCATTTTAAACACCATGTCAACAGCACAGTTATTAAAGCTTTTGGTCTCAAATTGGACATGGTGGCACATGCCTGTAATCCCAGCACTTAGGGGGCTGAGAAAGGAGGAACTCTTCAAGCTGGAGGCCAGTGTGGGCTACATAGTGAGTTCAAGGGCAGCTTAAACTACACAGTGAGACCTTGTCTCAAAAAACAACCAACCAACCGAAACCCAAACCAAACCAATGAAAAAAAATCAAGCCCCAAACAAAGCCAAAACACTTTTGGTTTCAAGGCTATGATTCATGTAGCACTGCTGTGGAAGCTAACAGTTTCAGAATCTGAGATTTTGTGATTCCTACCATGTATCACTGTTTTTTTTTTTTTTTTGGTTTTTCTCCGGTACCGGGAACTGAACTCACGACCTTGCGCTTGCCAGGCAGGCGCTTTGCCCCTGAGCTAAATCCCCAGCCCCTACCATGTATCACTGATCCAAACAATTTAAGGTCTTCAAACACAGCTACTTCTACCTTCTTTTTTAATTAAATAAAAGCAAGAAACATACTAAGGCAGGAGATTAGGGCATGGCAAAGCTGACTGGGGAAGTAGGAACGACCTGTTAATCACACAATCCCAGGACACATGAACAGAACAGTTCCCAAAACCCTGCAAGCAGTTCTCTCGAGAACTTGAGCAGGTTTTCGATAGGACGAGCTAGACCTGACATCAGCCTGAGGAGTGGATGATACAGAAGGGACAGGGGACACTGGGCTTTTTGCTATTGTGTTCTCTCACAGTGACCCACCCTCTCACTGTACAGTATACTTTTTTCTTACTTTTACTTGGCCCAAACTCACTCTGCAAAGCCTGTTTCTTTTTCTACCTTTAATAAATGTGAAACTTTGCCTCTGTTTATGCTTGTTTTGACCAATTCTTTGTTCAGAACAAAAAGAACCTAGAAGGACGGGTGTGGTGGTGCGCATCTGTAATCCCAGCACTTGGGAGGCTGAGGCAGGAGGATCACTGTGAGTTTGAGGCCCGCCTGGGCTACAAAGTGAGTTCAAGGCCAGCCTGAATTGCATAGTGAGACCCTGTCTCAAAAAAGGAAAAAAAAAGAACCTAGAAACCACCTCTGGGAGACTCCAGCACCCCAAAACCTGGTAACTGGATCTTTGAAATGCACTATTTCTTTGGGGAGTGGGGTGGGAATTATACTAGGGGTTGAATCCAAGGCCTTTGCACTGAATTATATTCCCCAGTTCTTTTTCTTTTTCATTCCCCTTCCCTCCCCTCTCCTCTCCTTTCCTTTGTCTTTTTGAGACAGGGTTTCACTATGCAGTTCAGGCTGGCCTTGAACTCACTTAGCCCAGGCTGGCCTTGAACTCACAGCAATTCTCCCGCCTCAGCCTCCCAAGTGCTGGGATTACAGGCATGCACCACCATGCCTGGCCTCATTTTGTTTTTACTTTATTGTTGTTTTTGAGTTTCAGTATGTAGGGTTTCAGTTTGTAGTTCAGGCTGCCCTTGAACTTACTATTTAGCTCAGGCTGGCCTTGAACTCTTGAGAGCTGGGATTATATGCATGTGCCACCACACTGGGTTCTTACTTTGTATTATAAGATAGGGTCTCACTAAGTTAACTAAGTTGCTCAGGTTGGCCTTGTACTCATGATGATCCTTCTGCCTCAGCCTCTCAGTGTGCTGAGATCAGTCATGTGTCATCATGCCTGGCTCTATACCTTTTGTTTTCTCTTCTTTTTTTATTTTAAATTAACATGCTGAGGATTGAACCCAAGACCCTCACAGAGAGGCACGTTACTAACCCTTTTAAATTTTTAAAATTATTTTCAATTTTGAGATATAGTCAAACTACATCACTAAGTTGGCCAGCCTGAGCTCAAACTTGGGATTCTCCTGCCTCAACCTCTCAGAATGCTGTGATTAAAGGCATATGCCACTCTAATAAGGCAATAAAAAACGTGAATATACAGAAAACAGGTTACTACAGAACAGAAAAAACCCCCACAATTTTATTGTTCAAAAATAAATTACTAATATGTGGACTTTCTTTCAGTCTTTTTTTTTTTTTTTTTGGTACCGGGAGTCAAACTCAGGACCTTGTGCTTGCCAGGCAGGCGCTGTGCCACTGAGCTATATCCCCAGCCATCCTTTTAGTCTTAGAGTGTTATGTATTATCGATGAGAAAAGGGACCAAACCAAATCTATAATTTTAAAGTCTTTTTTATTTCACACTGTGGTTCATTTTCATAAATTAAAAACTCTGAGCTGGGCTCAGTGGTAGGATGCTTGGCTAGCATACATATGGCCCTGAATTGACGCCCAGAATTATAAACATAATGAAAAACTCCCTAACTATCATCCATTCATAATGGTTATAGCTGCTGCTCTGCGGGAGGACAGAATTCATACTGCTACTACAATGTGAAATGTTTTAGGTTGCTTCTGAGTTTTTGTCACTCTCCAAAGAGGAATTACTGGGAGGGTGATTAGCAGTTTGGAGGTTCTATGTATGTGTGTATGTGTTTCTTAGTTTTAATTTTTTTTTTTGTGGTGCTGGGGATCAAACTCAGCACCTGAAGCACTCCAGGCAAGCACTGTACCACTGAGCTATACTCCCAACCCTAGTATATATATATTTTTTTGAGATAGGGTCTTGTTATGCTGCCTTTGAACGATGTAGCCCCGGGTGGCTACGAACTGTCAGTGATCTTCCTGCCTCAGCCTCCTGAGTGCTTAGATTGCAGGTATGTGCCACCATGTCCAGCCTCCTAGCACATTTTTAAAAAATACAAATTATCAAGTAATTTTTCAATTTATACATGTACTAACAGTAAGCAAGAAGACTTATTTCATGGTTTCCTTGTTGGGTTAAAGAATATTATTAAAAATGTCACTACCAACTTGGAAAATCAATAAAGAAATATTAATCTAGCAAAACAACCAGCCGTGGTGCCATATACCTGTAATCCAAGCAGCTTGGGAGGCTGAAGCAGAAGGACCACAAGTTTGAGTCTAGCGCGGGCAACTTAGTGGGACCCTGTCTCAAAATGAAAAATAAAAAGGGGTGGGGACATAGCTTAGTGGCAGAGTGCACCTGGGTTTGATCTCTAGACTATAAGAAAACCTAGCAACACAATTTAACTTGTGATGTATTTAATAGCTTATGTTTTAATAAATAATAAGTAAAACTCCTACAAAACTATGTGTGTGTATTTTTGCCCTGGGATTGAATGTAGGGCCTTCTGCATGCTATGCGTGAGCTCTGCCACTGAGCTGAGTCCTCTGCCAAGAGCATTTGGCAAATGCTATTTCTTTACATTAATGCAAAGTTTAAAACCAATCTGGAGCCGGGCGTGGTGGCACACACCTATAATCCCAGCGTGCAGGAGGCTGAGGCGAACTGCCATAAGTTCAAGGTCAGCCTGAGGTCGTGAGTTCAAGACCAGCCTGCACTACATCCTATTTCGAAAAAACCAAAAACCAAAAATAAAACCAATTTAAGTAATTCCTGAACAGTGAGCAGACTATATTTAGTGTGAAATATTTTGAAGTCTCTATCCCTTTGCTATCAAAACGACACATGAGAATAGTCGTTTATATAAACACAGGGAAAACAATCTTCAAAATATAATAAGAAAAGGCAGGTTCTCCTCACTTCTGATATCCAAAAGGAATTTTAAAATCCCAACTGTCTCACAGATAATACAGGCAAAATGGATCTTACAATACTGATCGTTATTTTCAAATATTTTTTAAGAGTCTCATACTTACTATGACATGTGGGGCATCTTTTCCCTTTGTAGGAAAATCTACTTAGTGTCATATCAAAATCTGTTATTATCTGTAAGGAAAGGGAGAGAGAGGTATTACACAACACAGCCGCCACCGACATTTCCGCGGCTCCCAAACAGGCGCTGCTGCACCCTAGAGGCTCAGGCCGGGCTTGGCCTCAGCCCCACTGCAGGACACCATGTTCTCCCTGAGTTTTCTGCTGCTGTCCACACACACAGTCTGGGGAGTAACCTTTAACTGCAGGTGCTCTTTTAACTGCCCATCTTTGTTACCAAATAAAATCTGTAAATCAGCACAGAAACTTTTTTTTTTTTTTTGTCTTTCTGAGACAGGGTCTCGCCATGCAGTTCAGGCTGGCCTTGAACTCACTTTGTAGCCCAGGCCGGTCTCGAACTCACAGTGGTCCTCCTGCCTCAGCCTCCTGAGTGCTGGGATTACAGGCGTGCACCACTATGCCCAGTCACTATAGGAATTTTTAATGGTTGGTGATCTGGTTATTTTTCTCTGTTGGGAAAAAGCACCATAAAAATTTTGGCCAACTTAGTCAATGTACAAAAATGTACTGGAAGCCATAAAATTGTATGAAGTTCTTAATTACTGACACTTTACATACTAGATTTAACTTGCTTATTTAGGGTAAATACTAGTGAACACAGAGAAATAGTTTACTAGCTCTTAAAACTTAACAGACCCGGTTAAATATTATTTTTTTTGAAAAGTATTATATTTTGGCAGTAATAGGGATTTAAATTAGGGCCTTCACAATGAGGTACATCCCCAGCCTGCCTATCTGCCCACTCATCCATTTTGAGACAAGGTCTCAGTCATTAAGTTGTCCAGGGTGGGCTCAAACTTGCAATCCTCCAGCCTCTGCCTCCTACAGTGTACCATCACATCTAGTTATTTTTTTTGTTTTTTTTTGTTTTTTTTTTTTGGTTTTTCTCTGGTACCAGGAACCGAACTCACGACCTTGCGCTTGCTAGGCAGGCGCTTTTGCCGCTGAGCTAAATCCCCAGCCCCCATCACATCTAGTTAGAAATGCTTTAAAAATCTGTTTTTGCTCAATATCCATACTGTCAATTTAATTTAAATTTAAAATGTTTCTTTAAAAAAAGAATTAGAAAACACAAGTATCTCCTAATAAAGTTTATATTTTAACAATGACAGTTAATTAAAATATGGAAGATCAACTTAAAATAACTTCTGGGCCAGGCATATAGCTCAGCGGCATAGTGCCTGCCTGGCAAGTGTGAGGTTGTGAGTTTGATTCCTGGTACCAAAAAAAAAAAAAAGATATAAAATTGTAACTTTTAATTGTTGTCTTAAAATGGTAAAACACTTGTACCTGACATTAGGTAATAATAAAGAAAAGTTGTAGCTCAGTAGTAGAGGGGTTACTTAGAATGCACAAGGACCTGGACTCAACTGTCAGCACTAAAAACAGATTTGTATTTGCTTTTCCAACACACCACTGTATTATGTATTTTAAGGCAACCCTAGATAAATATTTTAGATTTCACATTTTTTTACAGGTAAAACACTGTCTATTTAAATTTACTTTACGCATATTATCCCAACAGGAGATGAGAGGTCTGCCTGAACTGTAAGAATAAACCCTTCCTACTGACGGCTTCTTGAGAATTAGTCACCTGAAGCCTGGCAGCTCCTCCTTTGATAAGACCACAGATAATTTCTTCTACTCTTGTGGGGTTCTTGATGCGAACTGAACTTTTCTGGAATTCTGGCATCTAAAAGGCAAAAAAAAAAAATTACTTTTAATTCTTTTTTCCCCAGGTTCCTCTGATACCAAGCAGAAGCTTGTCTTGTCTGAGCTGATAGAAGTGTTCAGGTGCTGTCTGAAAATCCAAATCACCATATCAATGGCCATTCATACACAGAAACAACTTGAGAGCACACCAGTAGCTTCTATCCAGAAGACAGACACACAACCATGTTGTGGGAAGCCGGGGACAGCCAGGCAAGGGTGCTTGCTTAACATTCCTGAGGCTCTGGGTGGAGTCCTACAAGTGCAAAAAACAGAAGCATTTTTTTTTTGGTTTTTTGTTTTTTTTCCGGTATCAGGAATCGAACTCACTACCTTGCACTTGCCAGGCAAGTGCTGTGCCGCTGAGCTAAATCCCCAGCCCCAAAAAACAGAAGCATTGAAAAACAGGACAGTAATTGACTTTCTTAGAAAGTATATATATTTTCCTATAAATAGACCAATAATTTACACTTGTCACAGAAATTACAGAAAATACATAAAAAAGAAAATAAAACTTGCCTACTTTTGCTACTGAAGATAAACTAGTAAACATTTTCACTCGTTTCCTATTAGCTTCATGAATATTATTTTATTTCATTTTCATTATATATTTTTATACCTGCTTTTAAAAATACTGTTACACATACAGCTATAAAAATGTATTTAAACCCGGTGTGGTGGCATATACCTATAATCCCAGCACTCTGGGAGGCTAAGGCAGGAGGATTCCCAAGTTCAAGCCCAGACCGGGCAACTTCATGAGACCCTGTCTCACAAAGTGGTCTGGGGACACAGCTCAGTGCAAAGGCACTGGGTTCAAGCCTTACACACACACACACACACACACACACACACACAGAATGCTTAACAAAATCCATTAGTCAAAACAGGATCCTAGAATTGAAGAAAGAATATGTGAATTCTGTGGTAAGAGTTAGTTCTTCTGAGAACCCTTCTGCTTACAGTGTAGTTTTCCAGCTATCCTTGGTGGCCCACGCCTGTAATCCCAGAATATGGGGAGGCTGTGACAGGAGGATGGCAACTTCAAGCCCAGCCTGGGCAATTTAGCAACTTAATGAGACTCTGTCTGAAAATAACAAAGAATGGGTTGGGAATGTAGCTCAGTACAAAGGTCCTGGGTTCATTCCCGAGTATGGGTGTGTGTATGTGTATAAGGTTCAGTTAGTCTGTAATTGGGACGTGGTGGCATGTACTTGTAGTCCTAACTACTGGGAAAGCCGAGGCAGGAAATACACTTGAGGCCAAGAGTTTGAAGCGAGCCTGGGCAACACAGCAAAACCCTAATCTCACAAGAATTTTAACTAATGTAATTTAAAACGTAAGTATATGACACAATGTGCAGAGGTTACAGGCAACAACTACACTGTATTATATGACTTGAGTATTTAAAGAAAGATTTTAGTTTATATTGGTATTTAGGTTTACAATATTTCTGAGCAGAAAGAAAATACTGTACAATTATTCTGCATGTTTTTAAACAGATAATTAAAAAATACTTGAAATATTTTAAAATGTAAAAAGTTGCTTTAATATCTGTTCCTTTTTATTGTATGATATCTTAAATTATTTATTAACTGTTCTTGCCATAAATTTTACAACAGACTTATTTCAAGTTCAGATAACTACCACAAAGTACTGGCTGGCTTGGAATCAGGACGCTACTGTGTTTATAGACCCTCAGAGCTGTCCCACAACCTGATGTGAAGAGTGGCTTTTGTATCTGCCCTGTTCTGAGCAGTACAAACTGGCACAGGGAGTCACGAGCCGCACTGTGCTTCCCCAACAGGTGGACGGCATGGGAAGGGGCTGAGGGGCTGCTGTCAGTCAGTTATGGCTCTGGACTCATTTAAACGGCAGGATCTTGATGGATTTATGTCCTTTTACTTTGGGCTTGATGGTGCCAACATTAACATATTTCATGTGTGCTGGACATAAAAATCCTCTAGACTTGTCTTTGCGGTAAGAGAATCAGACCAGGGAAGTCTATCAGATCCCATGTTGTTCCCACACATGGCCAAGAGCAGAAAAGTCCGAGAAGATGAAGGTTTGCCCAAGTCTGGTAGATGGTAATAGAGGCATACCGGAAGTGGTACTCACATTAAGATCCTCTTCAGGAATGTGAGACCTGGACAGACCATACACTTACATTTCAGACCCATAGCTAAAGAGCAGACAGGTTCACGTGCAATGGGTCAGCCTTCATTTAGGGAGCCTATGAACTAGCAGCTTCAAGAGTTTCAACAGAGTAAAGGTCTCAAAAGGATTAAAGGTTATCTAAACATCGATGACTGACCAGCTGGCTGACTGATCACAGTAGTGGGGACTGAGCCCAGGGCACAAACTAGGGAAGTTCATCTCTTGATGACTAAAACCTGCTCTTTCCTCAACCTCAGCTGCAGCCACCCAGGCATCTTAGGCTTGATTCAGTAACTGACCAATGGGTTGATGTCATGAAACGTGTTTCTACCAGAACACTGACACTTCCTGCCAATGTTCTACACTGAGATGCCTCCTTCAAGCAGGCCACATGCTCCAGCTCCAGCTGACAGGAGGAAGCATCAGGACCACTGGGAGCTCCAACGCATCTCACCTAATGCCTGCTGCTCCTCCAAAACACTACGTGACGGCTTTATTATAAGATGCCTTGGTCTTCTTTTTATAACAAGTGGTAGAAATTTTCAGCACTCCATTTATTTTCCATTGTATTATGATCAAATTGAGACGTTTTCAGACAAATGAAAATAACTTGCTATAAAAATTTTAGACTGATTTCTGCTATACCAAGCACTCATTGCAAGATTGGTTTATTCTAAATGACCACAGGCGAAAGGCAGCCATAGGCTGGAGGCACTCGGAGCCACTGGCTCCAGATAAAGAACTGTGAGGACAGAAAGCACCGGCGGGAGGGGTTTGGTACCAAGCTGACGGCCACAGAGGAGCAGCTACTTTCTCCAAAGAACACAACAGGGTGGAAACCAGCGGAGGGAGACAGGATGGATCATTTATGGCAGACTGCTCTCCTCTGCTGCAACACAAACACAGTACACTGACATACTTCTCAGAAACTGAGACATGGGGCATTTCCTGAAAAATTCCAGCATGCAACCTAAGAATCAGCACTAAAAACTGCAGTATGGAGTATATGAAAGAGCATCACAGCATTAGAGCACGCTGAAGGAGCATGATGAAAAAAACCATGTGCTTTACTCCAAATCTCTCCCCCATATTCCTCCTGGACAGAACAGACCTGCTCTGGTGGCACATAAAAAGATACTTCAAAAACAAACAAACAAACCCAAAAGCAGTTCTAATTAGAAGAGCAAGCTATCTCAAACTGCCTGAAAACTTCAATTTGATGACATAATATTAATATGTCAATTTGATGACATAATATTATGAAAAATAAGAAAAGGCCTATAAATTTTCACCATCTGTGATAAGGCAAAGACTTCAAAACAATTGATTTCAAAATTATAGTATTTTACTCACAATCCAATAGCACTGTTAAGATTTCTTGACATCATATCATAGATACATGAGGACAAGACAAAAATGAGTACCTCCACGGTACAGTTATAAAATCTGTGAGCTCTTCTTGGTATCATAAACCCAATAATAATGTCCCAGATATTATCCTATTATCCTAATTCCTGGGATAAAATGATGACCACTTCAAAGTTTCTGTTTGTAAACAATGATTTTAAAATGTTAAATTCTGATTTAAAAAGAAATTTAACAAATACATCCTATTTAAAATGCATTATTAATTCTTTTTTTTTCATTGTTAATTCTTAAATTAAGAATAAAACACAAAATCAATTAAGGGTTAGTGCAGTTCACAATGGACAGATGGTACAATTCGTATTTCAACCAAAGAAAAAACTTACTTGTATTTTTATATATGCTTATAATTACCTTAATATTATCCTCTATTTTTCTGGCAATGCCCTACATAAAAATTAGCTTAAATAACTCAAGAATCTCGAAGAGATGACTCTCAAGGAAATATTACTTATTTCTGCTGTTTATATTTGGTACTGGTTAGATTATAATACTACATACTACATTGGCACAAAGGCGTAAGCACTACAATATTTATGTTAACTACGTACATATAAAGTACACGTTTATCTGGGTGTGGTGGGGCACACCTGTGATCTGGGAGGGTAAGGCAGGAAGACTGCTGTGAGTTCCAGGCCAGCCTGGTCTACACAGAAAGACTCTGTCTTAAAAAAAAAAAAAAGTATAGGTTTAAAGCCATCTATTCAGTCTGGTACATTTACCCACACAAACAGATGATTCTGTAATTTATTTGAAAAACTAGAGATTATTACTTTTTTGTTTTTTGAGTCAAAGTCTTGCTTACCCTGAAGTCACAATGTAGCCAATCCTGCCTCACCCTCCAGAGTACTGGGATTACAGGTCTGTTCCACCACACTTGGTTCAAATTTTTAATAATAACCATCTCCTCTGCTTGCCACACATTTGGCCTGTCTCTATGTTAAGGAAGAGAAGGTCAAATTCATTCATCTATTCCCCAGGTACAATCAGTAAGTGTAAGACAAGTACATTTGCAGCTCTGTAAGAATTGCAGAAGAATCCACAAGACATGTGTCTTTTGCTCAAGGTTCTCTAACACAGATTATAATGTAGGAACCCAAGTAGCTAACATACTGCCCAGAAGTCCCAAGTGAAATGTAAGAAAAGCAGAGGACAAGGACAGCACTTGTCTTAAGGCCAAAGGGGGAAGACTCAAATACACTGAACTGTGGAAGAGAAGCAGGACTTGCATATGCTCAGGCTGAAGAGGAATCTAAGTGCATAATCTAGCTGGGAAAGAGAATCCCTGTTGAAACTTAACTGTACCCAAGAAGAGGCTGTGTGATAGGTCTGGAGGGAGAGATTTGGAGCCAGCTCACAAGCAGAATTAATATCCCGAGGAATTCTAAACGTAAAGGATCTATCAACATTTTTAAAAGGAAACATAACAAAACACAAAGTAAAAATTATATAAATCAATGCAAATAATAGTAAAAAACCAAAACACAAAACCCCACAATCTTTTGGCTTGTTTTCCGTCAAGGGTCTCAGTCACGGTGGGCTGAAGGTACCGGTACTTGCTTCCAGAAGAGACACAAGCGGAGGGGCCCAGGCCCCAAGGAGCAATACATGACACAAAGTCTATCATTAAAATTGCGTTTTTTAATGGAGGCAAATTCCTGTATCACCTATATTCATTTTAAAAAATCAATTCAAAGAAGAAAGTAAATTCTAGATTGATTTAACCCTGTGTAAATATATGCTCAATCCCAATGAATCAAACACCAATCATGCAACAGATACAAAGATCAAGTCTCTGTTTTTAGGTTGAACCAGAAAAACCTGCCAATACTGATACTGGACACAGAAAAAAAGAAAGAAAAAGAAGACAACTTCTATACGCTTCAGCATAACAATTAACTAAACTAACAACTTAGTTCCTGCTCTGAGTCAATTTTCACCTTCAGCTGCACACTGGCTGAGGAAAGGTAAGTTCAGATTTATTATGACAAAGCTACCTACTTGCTAAGTCATGTTGTAATTTACAGGCAGAAAAAAAATGGGAAAGAAAGAGAATAAAATAAAAAAAGGGGCAGTAACAAAAAGAATCAAAGGAAAAAGTAAGCAAGAGATGACAGAGCAGTCTTCTTCAAAACAGTGTCCTAGGTGATCCCAGGTGCTGGTTCTCCTAGACAGGAGTACAAGTTCTGGACGGCAGCACACAGGGAGGTCACCACCGGTGACAATCAGGTCTTCACACCTCAAATGCTGTCAGAAATGACTGAAGATTTTCACCATATAAATGCTGAGGAGATCTAAACATCACACAAATATATGTATGTATCAAAACATTACATGGTACCCCCTTAGTATGTACAATTTTTGTGTTTTTATGTATCAGTTAAATAAAGAAGAAAAGGACTTCAGGAATATGAAGAACTGATATACCCCCCCTTGTGTGAATAAACATGCTACTCACATGGCTAAAATGCTAACATATCTAGAAATTATTATTCATTGAGTGTATCTGAGCAAGAATAGGAACTCAGGATGTCACATTATGTCTCAGTGAGATCACTGTGTTCAGCCAAGGGTCTTCACAACCACCGAGGGATGAGTTCATACTGAAGGCCACTTCTGATTCCAGCACCTGTGTCTCTCCTACCCATCCTGCTATCACCTGCTCTCTATGAACTCTATTCTGCAAGAGCTATTTTTAAAAATGTCGATGCTTGCCATTTTAAATTAGAGACCTATGATAAAATATTTTATCCTGAATGGTCTGTGTTGTGGCTGAGCAAAGAAATGTGAGCATAAAAATGATACGATCATTTATATACTGAGCAAAATTATCAACAGGTATTATAGTGAAAGCATTTCAGAGAACAGGCACAGCAGTGCATGTCTGATATTTCAGCTATTTGGAGGCTGAGGCAGGAAGATGGCAATTTTGAGGCTAGCATGGACGACTTAGTAAGACCCTGCCTCTAAATGAATGAATGAATGAATGAATGAATAAATAAATAAAAAACAAGCAAGCAAGCAGGCTGGGAATGAAGTTCAGTGGTAGAGCACCTGCCTAGCATGCACAAAGCACAGGATTCAGTCCCCAGTAAAGCCAACAAAACAAAACAAAACAAAGTAAAAAACCCAACTCTTTCAAAGATAATCTGAAACTGAATTTACTAAGCATTTAGCCTGGCATGGTGATCCACACCTATAACTCTAGCACTCAGGAGGCTGAGGCATAAGGATCACAATTTCAAGTCCCACCTGGACAATTTAGCAAGACCTTGTTTCAAAAGAAAAAGAAGAAAAAAAAAAAAAGAAAAAGGGCAGCGGGTATAGCTCAAAGGTACAGTACCTCTGGGTTCAATCCCTATGGTAGAGGGGAGTGGGATACAAGCATTTGAGGTTCTATTGTGTCTCAAGCATTGTGAAGAAAGGTATGTTTAAAGTTTCAGTCCCATAATTATCTGTTTAGAAAGGAAAAAGTGGTGAAGTTTCATCTTTAATAAGTGGAACTGGAAATAATCAAATACCCACCATTTTCACATGTACAGCAGACTCTTGATTAGTCATTTCTTGATTATCCAATCTTCTGGATTTCCCCAGGTGATATCACACCAAAAGAGAGAAAAAAGGTACACGTGACATACGTAAAATTCAGGCTCTTCTTATGTACGCTAATGACATACTAAGATGAGATTTTTGGTATGATTTAAACACTAAGGTATTGCAGGTATCTCTTCCTTTCTAAGCTCAGCAAAGGAGTTATCCTATGCAGCCATTTTGGATTGAAAGTATCGTATGAAGAGTTTGAAGCTCTTCTTTAAGAACTTATAAGGTACAAGAAGATCTGATTAAGGTGGTAAGGTAAACAAAGCACAATTTGTTTTGTTTTGTTTTTTTGGTACTAGGAATCAAACTTGGGACTCGCGCTTGCCAGCCAGGTGCTTGTGCCAGTGAGCTATATCCCCAGCCCCACAATTATTAAACCTCACAGCTTTTTCTTTTTTTATACTTAGAATCTACAAAGGGGTCTTGATTTCTCAAAAGGCTCTATTTAGATAAGAGCATTTTATTAGCTTGAAAAAGAAGAATGTGAGAAATTCTACAGGTGATATTTATAAAACTACCACACAACTTGGGAAATACTCAGGGTAACAGAATTCAAGCAGGGAAGAATTAAATATGTTTTAAAATGTGGACATATATCTTTTTCTTATATACAGCCAACCAGCACAATTCCTCCCTAGTCTCTACCAGCACATGCAGCTTTTACTGGAGCATTCATTTCAGTTTAGAGAAAGAAAAATGATTTATTTTAAATTATTACTTAAAACCAAGGAGTGGTGTGTGTGTGTGAGAGTGTGTGTGTGTGTGTGTGTGTGTGTGTGTGTGTGTATGGTGTCTCACATTTGCAATCCCAACACTTGAGCTGTTAAGGTAGGAGTTTAAGATCAGCCTGGATAACTTAGCAAGATCTTGTCTGAAAAACAAAAAACATCTAACAAACAAACAAAATGAGTGATCAGAAAGGTGGTAATAGGCTGGAGGTTGGACATGGTGGTGCACACCTGTAATCCCAGTTACTCAAGAAGTTTAAGCAGGAGGATACCAAGTATGAGGGCACCTGGGCAACTTAGTAAGACCTTGTCTCAAAATAAAAAGAGCTGAGGATGTCGCTCAGTGATAGAGTGCTTGCTTGGCATGTGCTAGGTCTTGGGTTCAATTCCTAGTACTGACAAAAACAAAAAAAACCAACAAGAAAAACCTCCCCAACACTGATAAAGGCTTGCTTTTAACAATTGACGGATACCATGCAAACATCAGTTGAAGAGCTTTCATTCTTCCCAGTCCTCACTGGCAACCTGACCGGAATTTATTCTTGTTCAAAGATAACCACATATGAAGTAACTGCAGTCCTACAGAAACCACCTCAGGTCTGTACCATTACGAAAGTGTAAAGGCTAAGGCGTCAATGCCAGCGTTCTGGCACCAGATGAGGAAAGGCACTGAAAATGAGGCCAGGGTATTTTTAACCAGCAGGCCTGTAAACCTATACCTGGTGTATATAAAGCTCTGGCTGCGCCACGGTCATCTGTTGCAGATGCTCCAAGAGAAGAGCTGCGGAAAAAACACATCAGGTGTAGAAGATGTGTTCAAAAATAGAAAAGGACTACCCTTGAACTATGAACTCTCTTCAAGAAAGTCTGGACTCTAATGAGAATGAAAGTGTGAAAACTAGAAATACTTTGCGGCTTGCAGTAGTGGTTAAGGTCCCTATGGTAAGTGTTCATTACAAGGAATGTACAGAAGAATACACATGGAGCATAAGGTAAGCTGAAATAGCACAAACTTAAGTGAAATTTACAGTTGCGATATGTCATTCTGAGACGAGTGTATAATCGATTAGTGAAAACTGGTATGTTTACATAAAAATTTACCCACTTCATAGTAAGTCTTAAAGTACCTAAATTCAGACTGAATACTTTTACATTGCTACTTGACAGGCTGGGCATCGTGGCACACGCCTGTAATTCCAGCACTCAGGAGGCTGAGGCAAGAGGATTACTGCAAGTTGGAGGCTAGACTGGATTACACAGGAAGACCCTATGCAAAAAAAAAAAAAAAGTGCTACTTGACAGTCATGGGAAAGTGCATATGAAATTTCAAATCTGTTAATATAGCTTTAAAAGTTGTAGCTGTTTTGATCTGTTGCAAACACAGAGGTGTGAAATTGAGTGGTACACTGTTACTTAGAAAAGCCTGGCCTCACATTAATATGGAAAGGGTATCAGCAACAGAGCTAAACACATGATAAATCCATTTGTATAGCACTTTTCCAGCTACCAATACTATCTGTGTTATGCCTGGGTTTAAAAACTGTCACTTTCAATTGTGATTGGCACAAGGAAAATAAAAACTATAAATTCATTTTTCTCTGTAGCGTTGTAATAATTTTCCTGGGATATTTAAATAATTCTCCCTAAATGTATTTTTAATTCAGCCGTGAGAAAAAACAAAAACTGGAAAGTGAAACTATCTCGATACAGACATAAAACAAAAATGAAACTGAAAAGCGGTGGGGGGAGGATGTAGAAGAGAAGAAAATAAACTGCAAAGCCTGGTTATTTAACAATTGGCAATGTATAGCACTTTTCTCAAATGATAAAACAATTCAGTCAGACCTTTATGGATACTTGAGAAAACAAACACCTTCAGAGCTCGGAGTGTATCTACTACTCTCCCAACCTCACAGATTCAGCCTGCCGGCATCTACAGAGATGAGTAAACGAAGGTGCACGAGCATTAACTAGCGGTGACACCTGAAGTTCTGAGTTCTCCTGTCCTTGACTTTGTCCTACAACAGTGAGGTGGCCAGAAACATCCAGCAATGTCGGGCTTGGATACAAGCTCTCAATAAAACCAAGTAACTGCCAAGAAATGCTCTGCTGCACGATCCTATTTATCTGATTTAAAGAAAACGAAATACATTTAAATGTAACATAGCAATAATGCTCTAGGCTTTCACTGCAACACATGTTTGAATCTTTATGATATTATTCACATTTTTTTGGAGGGGGTCAGTGCTGGGGCTTGAACCTCAGGGCCTCGTGCATGTTAGGGAAGTGCTCTGCCACTGAAATACACCCAAACCCTGCATGTTTGAATCTTAATTTTCAATATATCAATCCTTATGTAATCAATTCACCTTTTATCAATTCATAAATAGCATAAACCCAGTCTATAATATCTAGGGTAAGGCTCACACGTACAAAATAACATTAATTTTTATTATCAGCTCTAACAGATTGTTTCTTTCCCTAGTGACAGAAAGCGTGGGGCTTTCACTAAAACTGAATCATACAGCAACTGAATGAACAACAAAATCGGAATTTAAGTGTTTTCCCCAGCTTGGAAAGAAACTTTTGAGGGTAATTTGATTTGCCTAACTTCTACATGTCAAACAAGAAACTCTTTTAAGATTACAATATGTAAAATGTAATTGCTAAGCCTAAGACACCTGAATCTTTTACACATTCATATCTTTGGAAACTGCAAAGAAGTTAAACACTACACTGGATCATTCCAGTTTTATTTTCTAATTTGTCCTTTACAGTGCCCCAACCTTTAGCAAGATAAAGAATCCAGTAAGAGTCATATAAACACAGGACAGTACACACTTACCCCGATGGTAACTGGACCAGCTACGCGAGCGAAAGAAAATTCTTCCTGTTTGAGAAGCACTAATATAGCCCAAGGTGCACCAGGGGGGCGGTTCCAGAAGCCTTGCTAAGCCCTATGCAAACACAGCCCTGTGACAAGGCACCACTGCACATGCGTCACTATGCTCTGGTGACAGCCTTGCCAGCTGTGAGCCAGCCCAGCCTACAGAGCACATCGAGTGAGAAGACACCACGGTCTTTCATGAGAAGGTAAATCCTCGCCGTGAGAACACAAGCAACTAAGTCAGCAGAGTGAGGAGGAACCCCTACACTAATATCCAGACACTGCTGCTTATGGAGTTTGGTAGGGTGCTTCTCTCCTTTTTTCTTTCTTTTTGAGACAAGGTTTCACTATGAAGTTCAGACTGGCCTTGAATTCACTTTGTAACCCAGGCTGGCCTTGAACTTGAAGCAATCCTCCTGCCTCGGGTATGCGCCACTAGGCCAGGCCAGCTGGCCAGGTACTTCTGATAGGTGCACTTTTATGTATAAGTACTGTATTTCAATACAAAGGGAAAAAGACCAGATTTGACTGCTGTTGCTGGGGAAGGATGACCCACCAGGTGTTGCTCAATAGGGCACAGCTTCAGTTTTGGAAAATAAAGTTCTGACGGTGGGTGGGTAGTGATGATAGTTGCACAACAGTGCCCCTAAACTGTATGCTTAGAGTTTAAAAAGTACCTTTGATATTATGTCTATTTTACCTAGGGCTGGGGATATAGCTCAGCGGCATAAGCCCGTGCCTGGCAAGCCTGAGGTCATGAGTTTGATTCCCGGTACCAAAAAAAATTAAAAAAAAAAAAAAAAGGGCCAGAGATATAGCTCAGCAGCACAAGTACCTGCCTGGCAAATGCAAGGTCCTGAGTCTGACTACTGGTACAAAAAAAAAAAAAAAAAAAAAAAAAAAAAAAAAAATCGTGTTTTACCTAGAACTAAAAATAAAAGATTAGCTCATTTAAGCCCCATGAAAAAACACTTGATGCATGGAACTATGGTCAACAGACCGTTAATAGTGTATCATAATGCAGTGGGATTTAAAGTGATTTTTATGTTTTCTTTATACTACCCTATCTATTTTGTGAACGTTAACAGGACCATGCCATAAAATATGAAAACCAGCAGGCCTTTAATTGGTGTAGGCCTTTAATCCCAGCTATTTGTGAGGTTGAGGCAGAGAGACTGTGAATTCCAGGCCTGCCTGGGCAATTTAGCAAGACCTTGAGTCAGAATAAATAGTAAAAAGGGGTGAGGACATAGCTCAGGGATAGAGCATCTCTGGGATCAATCTTTCCCGGTACTGCCACCACCAAACACAAACAAACAAAAATCCTCACAAAAACTAAGCTAGTCTTTATTTTTAAAAAAACTGGAAAAGCTGGGTGCCCTGGCAGGTGCCTATAGCCCTAGCTGCTCAAGAGGCTGAGGCAAGAGGATATCTAAGCCCATTTTGGGGTCAGCCTGGGCAAGACAGCAAGACACCCATTTCACCAAGCAAAAACAATTAGAAGAAAGTTCCTTTTTTGAAATATCTTTATTCTTTAAAAGAGAACCAGCCTGGTTTTCAAATTGAGTAGGAAGATAGCAATCGCTAATATGGTATCAGGACCTGAAAGATAAGTGAGCCTATGACTCTGAGAAGCTTTTATGTAAATGAACCTTTGCATCAGCTCTTTTAAAAAACTGAACCCAGGCAGTATTTTGGTAATTAAACTGTGAAGTAATATTCTCTATTAAGACCAATACAAAAAATTTTAAACTACTTTTTGGGGGAAGGGAGATAAGAGTCTTTTTCTATATTGCTCAGGATGGCCCCGAACTCCTGAGCTCAAGTGATCCTCCCACCTCAGCCTTCCAAGAAGCTGGGACTGCAAGTATGTGCTACCATGCCTTTTTTCTTTTTTTGAAGATCACTAAAAAGTTTCCTGATTTTGGTATTTGCTAAATGTGGAAACTTTTGGCACTATCTTAGTAAGACGAGAAGATTTATAATAAAACATTCCCTTAAAAGGAAAACCTCACATCTAATTAGTAATGCGGGCTCACAGCAGCTAAGGTGCTCCATTTTGGAAATATTTCTGTATTACTTATGAAAATGCTGACTTAACTGTCCTAAATCACCATCAACAACAAAGGATGTTGGAGTTATACTTCCATGGCCCACTTAAAGCGCTATTTGGAAACCTTTGACACACCAATTTTGTGCCTAGCAATTTATTCTATGGAAATGAGGCAGCACATACAGATTTAACTGCAAGGATTTGTACTACAGATGTTGTATACTGCAAATAACCTAAATGCCAATACCTAAACACTCATTAATTCAGGAGAGGTAGGGGTTGGGGACAGATCTCAGTGATAGAGGGTTTGTCTAGCATGCATAAGGCCCCAGTTTTGATCTCTCACTACAAAAAATATGACAAAACCAAACCAAAATGAGAGGTAAACTGTGATAGTACACATAAAAAATAAAAATAAAGAACTGTTTAAAATTATTATTACTATACACAGTTTCAATTTCTACAATTCTAAGCATCTGACATTTCTTGTCCCATATAATATTTGTAATATCCCTGGAAGGTATATGTTATTATTATCTGTCTTTTTACAGGTGAGTAAATGAAGGTTTCCAGCTGGTAAGTGGCAGAAATGAATTCATACACAGATCTTTCTGACTCCAGACTGTGCCGGTGAATTACTAGACAGTACCAGCTGGTGAGACTAGTAGTGACAGTCCCTGAGAGGTCCATCATCCCCTGCTGTGTGCCGTTGGGGCACCTACAGTGACAGTCCAACTGGGGGAGAAGAGATATACATGTAAGAGTAGGAAGGCAGGCTCCATATGATAGGAACAGGGACAGGATTAAAAGGCCAGTTTTACAAAATAAACTATTTCTTGTGAAATAAGATGGTGTGTTAAAAATGTTAAGAGTAGTAGCATTAATCTGACCATAATCAGAAAAGTTAAAAAGCCAGTCAAATAAAACAGAAAAGAATGAAAAGAAAAAAAGCTAGTAAACCCCATATGGATGGAAGTATCTGAAACAGAATTGAGACAGCAAGGATTCTGCCAGCTCACTCTACTGTCCAGCAGCACATCTGACAGCAGCGAAGGTTGCCAGCAGGTGTGTCCTGAGGCTGGTGTGTCTGTCGGTACTGGTGTCTAAGGGCAGGGCTTCAGCCTTGCTGGCGCTCCCTGCCCTGCTAGTCTCACGCCAAGGAGAACAAAGATAGGGAAATGTCATTTTTCTAATCCTCCCAGACACTGTGTGCATGCTGTGGGCATAAGCCTTCTGAGGGATTTACATTGATGAAGCCCTTGACATTTACTGGCACTATCCACTGTCTGTCCAAGCCTTGGGAGCACCCAGCAGCCCCTTTACAGACATGCTAATTTAATCAGCAGGAGCTTAAAAGGAAACAATACCCATCCCTCTTTCATATAAAAGGAATCTGAAATATGGAAAAGTTAAATCACATGTTAGGTGGCTTATACACAAAAGTTGTAACACATTTTAAATAGCTTTTTCACTGAATCATATTGTCTCAATACAGTAAAATACATGTTAGCACAATGAACAGGTTGAGGGAGTCTACAGAAAGACACAAGAAGTCATAAAAATAAGTCCTTGAGCAGCAGGACAGACGGACTTTCAACTCTCTATAAAACCATTGGTTTTTGACACCCTAGAATTTTACTCCTTGCCATAGAAATAGAAATCACTCCTATCACACCTAATGGCAAGCTCTCAATCAGAAATTCATATGCCAAAGAGTAGAGAATTTCTTACATAAAATTCAGAACTGGAAGACTGACTCTGCAACTGGATGTCTTCTTTTTTAGTAATCTTTTTTTTTTTTTTTTTTAAAAACCTGTATAGTTGTCTTTATCAATGAAGAAAGGGATATCCATTATTCTGAGTAACCAGCTACCAGGAATCGAACTCATGACCTCAGGCTTGCCAGGCAAGTGCTTATGCTGCTGAGCTACACATCCCCGGCCCCTACAATCTCCTTTAAATGTTAAAAATTACTTCAGATTTTGCCATCAAAAAGTTTCTCTGAAAAAGCCAGGTATAGTGGCACACAACTGTAATCTCAGCACTCTAGGAGTCTGAGGTAGGAGGAGCACAAGTTCTAACTCAATCTGGGGAATTGAGCAATTTAAGACTCTATCTCAAATAAAAAATGGTTGAGGACACAACTCACTCCAAAGGTCTTAGATTCAATCCCCAGTAAAACACACACACACACACACACACACACACACACACACACACGCATGCACAGCTTAAACAGAGCCCAGTATTATGGCATACACCTGTAATCTCAACTACTAGGGAGGCTGAGGCAAAAGTTTGGGCAATTCCAGGCCACGCTAGGCTACAGAATGAGATTCTGTCACAAAACAAAACAAAGCAAAGCAAAGCAAAACAAAATAAAACAAGAAACAGTTTATCAGAAGTTCCAAAGAGCGAGAATTTAAAAGGAAATAAAATCTATCAATTTAAACGTTAATGACTTTATTAATATGTCTTTAATATTGGAATAGGGAAGTAAAGGAAATAAAGATTGTAGTGACTAATAGCTGAATACAAAAGAAATCATATCATACTCTCACATGAAACCTGTAGTGAGTATAACTATTTCTCAACTCAGTCTAATTAAATACTAACTTATAATTGGGTTACCACAATCCAATTATCATTCCAACAAAGAATGTTTTTTTAAACTTTAAACACTTTAGAAAAATTATTCTAAACAACAAAATGAAGCCTTATAAGGAAGGCAATTCAGTGGGAGATGAGGTGCAAGATTGTCTGTAAAGACTCCTGCAAAACTTGTTCCGGCTAATTGCTCCATGGTGTGAACAGGAAGATGAGTGTTTAAACATGCAAAACCTCTGCCTACAGATTTGACTTCAAACTTCCCTGAAAGAAAACAACAGTGAACTGATTTCAATCCTGTCACTGTACAAAACAGAACTGAAGCAAGGTTATTACAAATGCAGTGCCTCAGTTCACAAACTTGATCCTTTCCATACTCTGGTGACAAATTAAATTGGACTAGAACTGAATCAAATTCAGTGGTTAGGTTCAATGTGGGCTTTATGGGGAAATTTGATTCAGTTCTTATCCAGACCAGAACTGTGAAGTTGAGTTCGTGAACCAAAATAACACTGTGTTTATATGAACATGGTCTTAATGGGACCTAAGACTAATTTTGTCATCAAGACGCATAAACATGGGTCTATTAGACCCATGTTTAGTCTTTACAATATTTCTA